ATACAGCTAGATTTTCTGTACGCAGAACCAAACTTGCGCCGCTGGCTTTCAGTAGAAAACGTGAACGTCCTCGCAAATTTCATCTGGTATTCTGACATGACTGCTTGGTAAAACTTGATATGTTTGGCAGTTACAGCGAACTTTTAGCTTTTAGTCTTTGTACTTATGTACGAGCCTGCAAAAAGTACTTCCGGTTTGAGCGGCAACCAGTTAGCACGACTGTCTTTCACACCACAAGCGCAGGCGCGCCGCGGTTCCGTGGGCGTAGCTTACTTTTTGCCGAAATTTTGTCTGTCTGTCTGTTCGTCCGTCCGTCCGTCCGTCTGTCTGTTTGTCTGTCTGTCTGTCTGTCTGTCTGTCTGTCTGTCTGTCCATCCACTCATCTGTCTGTCCGTCCGTCCGTCCGTCCGTCTGTCTGTCTGTCTGTCTGTCTGTCTGTCTGTCTGTCTGTCTGTCTGTCTGTATGTCTGTCTGTCACACGATTCAGCCTCACGGCCTAGGGGGGGGGAGGGTGATTCTTAAACGAGAGAAAAGATAAAAGTGAGGCCCGTAACAGCAGCACATCAGAGTGCAGACACGGAATTCAGCGCACGGAATCCAGCAGACACGGAATCCAGCGAGCGCAGCTGCCTTGAACTGCTGTGTTCATGTATACTTGTGAACATTGTCGGCCGAAAAGTAAATATTACGCATATCTGAGGCGCAACATCAATACGTAAAGGGTGTGTTCATTTACTAAAAATAAATAGATAAGTAATTCTAAAGACCCCAAGGTTTCGTAAGCTGCGCTGAAAATGTGACGCTATGGACGAAAGTACCCTCTGCAGACGATATGGTGCTGCCACCTGGCAGTGTCCCCGGGTTCTGCACAAGCTCATGTTTCCCGACAGCAGTGCCAAATGGCCTCCATATCACGCGCAGTGCCTCTTCTATTTTATGAATGCCAGCCAGATGCGGCCAATTCAACATAGGAGAGGCGCTGTCTGAGGCAAGGCAAAACATAAATATGGCCGTTTGATGAAATACAACCCACTCTACAAGACATGTCCCATTCAGGACTCATGCAGTACGGCCGGCGGAAGTCTATCGTCTTTCGACGACGTTTGCAGTGAAGCACGCAGATATACGAGGCCAATTTTTAGGGGCGAAGCTTCTCATGCCGTGGGTCGTTCCCTCCTCGCTAGTAGTAGTAGCAGTAGTAGTAGTAGTAGTAATAGTAGTAGTAGTAGTAGTAGTAGTAGTAGTAGTAGTAGTAGTAGTAGTAGTATGTAGCCACCTCTAGTTTGTGAGTTGCTCAATAGATGGTGTTGTGTGTATATGGTCTTGGCAGTACTATAACTAGATGGCGTTAGTGGTTTTCGCAGCATATCCATGCAGTGAACGATGAGAAGTGGGGCGAAGCGTCCATCCGTCCATCCGTGTGACCATCCTTCCGTGCGTCCATCCGTTCGCCCGTCCATCCACCCGTCCGTGCTTCTGTCCGTCCGTCCGTTCTTGAGTCTGTCCATACGTCCGTGTTTTCGTCCGTGCGTCAGTCCGTCCGTGCCTCTGTCCGTCCCTGCGTCCACTTTGTCCTTTTAATCATCATTCACTTCGTGTATAGGCTGTGATTTTTTTCCCCAGTTTGTGACCGGTCGTGCATGCCTTGCGAGACGCAAAGAGTAACCTTTGGCGTCAACGCTACCGATTCTAAATGTATCAGGGGATCACAGGTGAAGTGCTCTGTTATCGGTGACGCCGTCATGGCATCGCAGTAGGCCACATTTTGTGACGTTATTACGACGTCACATAACACGACCTTACGTGATGACGTCACCACAAAACATCGTCTCTTAGACAAACTTGGCTGATTCCGGAGGTAGCAGTGCAACACACCATGTCCGTGAAGTGCAGAAATCGCCGTTGGGGGGCTGGGCGGGGTGAGGGGAGGTTGCAGGAAGTTGCCTGGGAACTGAGAATGCCAATGTAATTGAATGAGTGATTCTCGGGTACTGCGGCTGATTACGTCTTACACAAAATGTGAACCGTGGGTCGATCCCACGACCTGCGGGTCAGCAGCCTTTGCCACTAGCCCATCACGGTGAGGCAAAAATTTTTGTGGAACAAATGTCGCCAAAATACGAAAAAAATAATTGTTAAAACCCGTGACGTTATGGGTGGAAACATTGGTGAATATCTTCCCACGATGTACTTATTTTTACATCGTGCTCTGACGTTCATTTTCTCCTCTATAAATAAACATGTGATGGTATAATTAACAACATCATGGTTTTAGAACCACTGTCTATCAGTGTAAACCCATTCATTGTTTCACTTTAGTGTGCCTTTGCACTACCCCGTAGTTAAAAAAAGAAACACGGCATATGATCCACGAAGTGAATGGTGATTAAGGGCGAAGCAGTGGGCTCGTTCGGTACGTGTTGCCAAAATCACCGTGAAATTGACCACTTGCGCATTTGAATGAGTGACAAAGCGGTGTACGGGTATATACAATGTTCATTGGCCACCTTAACTGGTATAGCATGACTGGTATGTTGTAGGGAGTTGTGAATTTCGTTTTCCCTTCATTTTTTTTTTTGCTGCTTTGTGGTATCAGATCTAGCCTCTAGTTGGCAAAGACGAAGTCTGTGCACCTTCCTTTGGTGGTTGTTTGTTGTTTCCAATCATTTTCGAGATGCATTGTATAGAGCTTATCGAGGCGTCACATATAGGGCACAAGTCAGTCGGGTTCCGTGATCGTCATCGTCATCAGCGCGTAATCGTTGTCGCGTCCATACGGCGCACAGCGCCAACGGACAAGACTTGTCCTCAAGGAGATTCGGCCCTAAAAAGTAAACGAAAACGTCGCTGATGCAATGTCTCGACTCAGTGTGAGGTATACCGTGGTACCCCTACTGAAGCGTATCGTATTCGAGTCCAATAATTCCATATGTTTCCATGCAGAATCCATATGTTTCCCATACGTTTCCCATACATTTCTGCAAGATTAATACGGAAACATACGGAAACATACGGAAACATACGGAAACATACGGAACTATTGGCCATCGCATACGGAACGTTTCAGTAGGGACACCTCTCACGCTCTCAAGTTCTCGGTCTCGAATTTCCCGCGTGCGCGCGGAGAAGCGCTTTATTCCGGGAAGCGGCCAGCACATCAACCGGCGGAAGGAAAGCTCTCTGGCGCCGCCGCCGCAAACTTCCTTCCTTCCAGCGGACACGAAGAGGAAGTTACTTCCGTCGTCCAGTTAGACACATACACTCTACGCGGTGCGTCCAGGCGATTCAGCCGATTCGTCTTGGTCCTTAATTTGGAAGCCTCGCTTAGGGCGAAATTATACACTTTTTTTCTTTCGTTCCGTTTTTTGTAATTTCTTTTTTCTCTCCTCTGCAACTCAGCGCGAATTCCTCGTGAGACACGTGCGGGCTCTTAATTATGAGATTACGCTCTTGCGCGGATTTTTTTTCTCCTTTTTATCCTGACTGCCCCTCTGCTCTGTCTTCATCTTCCACGTCTCTTTCTGTCCTGCGCGTTTCTTATTCGAGCAATTTGTCGCAAAGCATGAGCGTTAAACGTTTCAAGCGCACCAAGTGAAGGCACGGGGGGGGGGGGGGGGGGCTTGTTGGGGCAGTCACTGCGAAAGCGAATCACCGATCCGTCATGGAGCGGGCAAAATTTTCTGAAACGTTTTTTTTTTTGTTGTTGTTGACTACCTTGAGGCTCCAAGTACCTGAATTGCACGGCACACAATCTAAGACATGTAGCGAGCACTCTTCGGGGTCGTTTAGTGACTCACCTTTTGTGCCGCACCAAATGAAGAACGCCGCCACAAAGCAATCGCGGTTATTGTGGGATTTGCGGGTGATATCCTATATCTCACGCGCAATGCATAGAGCAGTGTATTCAACTTTGATTGGTTGAGCATATGCGATACATAGCCTATCATTGTGAAAACCAGAAAAGATGACGTTGAAAGGAGGAAGATAATTGCGATGGAGGATTTCACCTTGAATTTTTTTATTTATACAGACCTGACTTATAAATCCACAAACCGCCGCACGATTATGAGAGACGCCGTAGTGGAGGGCCCCGGAAATCACGACCATCTGGTGTTGCTTAAGACAGTACACGGGCTTATGCCTTTTCGCCTCTACCAGAATGTGGCAACGGGGATCGACCCCGTGACCTTGGGGTGAGCAGCGGAGCACCATCGCCACCGTACCACCAAGGCGCACTCTATGCTACCATTGCGCATTGGGCAGGAGACCAGCAAAAATACAATATCTGTGCAGAGATAAGACAAGAAGTCACCAGGTCATCATGCATGAGCAAAAAACAGGCTGTCACGCTAGTGTGCCATCAAATTGATGGCACCCTAACGCAAGCCTGTGTATGAATATTGTCAAGGGGTTGTGACGCTCATGATGGCAGGGACGGCTTGTTCAAAATGAAACTGTTTATATGGCCGAATTTGTGGCTGGTAAACGAAACAAGTCAGACTACAGCGATACGCACTGGCACTGATAGCGGCACTGATCATGTCGACATCGTAAAATTTTCTCCTCCTGCAGAGGTTGATTATCCATTTTGCTGAGCTCCTTGCGAAGACATAGTCGCTGTCCACTGTATTCTAGGCAGTCACGAATGAGATGTCGGATGGTTTCTTCGTTGCCACGGTGGGAGAGCAGAAAGCCGTTCCTTAACCAGCGCAGGGAGTGAAAGGAATGGGCAATATGGTACGCTTAGCTGAACTCTGCACACTCGGCCATGGGGCCCTCAGTCAAGGGCACCACAGCTATAGGCTAGTGGGGCCTTCGACTGACTTCGCCCATAAGTAGGCTATAGGCTACAGGGAAGCCCTCGACTGACTTCGCCCTGGACAGACTTCGCCCATAAGATTGACTTATACTTCATCCATTTTTTTTATGTTCTATTCTGTTTGACCCCGCAACGCAGGCAGGTGGCCTAAAACTCCCCATTTATGGCTTTCTTTTTGCAGATAGGCCGCCCTCTTGGACGCTACGGCACGGCGTCGCCGAGTGATGGGCACAGGTCGCGCGACCGCTAGCCCACCACAGCTACCACCGCCGCTGCCGTGGTGACCGCCTCTCGCGCCTCCGAGGTTCACTACTCCCCGTCTGCCGTCTCCCAGGGGACAGCATGAGGCGAACCCAAGGTCCGGCCGTTGCCAATGACCGGGGCGGAGGTGGCGCGTCGCCCAGACCTCCATCGTCGTCGTCCTCGCAGCAGCAGCAGCAGCCGACAACGTCGTCTTCGCCTTCGTCCTCGACGCTGGTCACGTCCGCCATGGAAGACTTCGAGCCGGGACAGCTGGTCTGGTTCGACCCCGGACTGGGTTACAGCCTGCCCGGGGAGGTGATCGAGTTCTCCAAGCCCGCCCAGGTCGTCACCGTACAGGCCGTCGTCTCAGGGAAGGTAAGTATGGATGCACATGATACTCGGGAACTTGAAGTAAAATGATTCTTCTAGTACAGCTGTCGGCAACTTTTGGGGCACATGGCCAATTTACATGAAGCCGCAACGGCGAGGGGCCACACGAAGTTGGCGTAAAAGGAGAGGCGCATTACAGGCAGAATGTAAAATATCGGTGGACAGAACTTCCCCGGGTGTACAGATCGTGTACAACGCTGCTAGAAAGCTCTCCAATTTAAAAGGTGAAATCTCAGCTATCCAACAGGCCAGGGAGGCTACTGGGAGACAAAGTCTTTCATACTCCGTCTGAGTATGGCCGGACAAGCGACAATCTGGATCTCACATAAAGTTGTTTAGTTCTTTGAAACTAAATTAACAGGATAAAAAAACACGTTTATTTTCAGCACACATGTCAGAAACTTGCAACCAAGCATAGGTTGCAAGCAGAAACCCCATTTTAAGATGAAACTACCACGTCAGCCTTTAGAAAGGAAGTGGCAAAGGTAAGAGGGCAGGGATGTGTGACGTCACGCTGTGAGCTGCATAACGCTGCCACGCGGGCCGCATACTGTTGCTGATTTTTTTTTCTAATACAATAATAAACTGATATTTCACGATGCTAAAACTACCAGGCTCACCGCGAAATTATGCTTGCTAAACGACAAAACGTTAAAAAAAAGTGCGGGTGGTGGTGCCACGTCGACGTTCCTGCACCAGTCACCGTGACGTCATAGATTTTGACGTCGTCTACTGTAGTCTATGTTATATGTTAGTCTATGTTAGTCTATGTTAGTCTATGAGATAAAGATGAAGTACAATTTCTTTAAGGGGTAGGGGCAGAGGGTGAACAAAACAAGTTTTGAAAATTTTAGCTCAGCCAATATTGCCGAAATGCAACCTTTGAATGCCGCAACCGCATGATGCAATTTCCTAACAGCGCGTCTGATGGCCTACCAATTACGCGGCTGCGGCGGTCGTTTTCCTCTTCTCCGTATTGAATATTTATATGCATATAAACCTGAATGTGTTTATAAAGTTGGTAGCCATGGCGGCGGGTGCCGCCATGGCTACGAACGAAAGGGTGACCGTTGTCGTATATATAGCTTTGGTAGAACATTAGATTCGTTATTCGAACGTTGCCGGTGCGGTCCCTGCTGGCGGCTAGTCGTATTTCATTTTTCTCATTTATGTCGATTTATGACTAACAATGTCGTCCCCCATTCTTCCCTTGGCTTGATTGGTTCTTGTTAAGGTTAAAATCTATATAATGTGTTGGGGATCAAACTAAATCTACGCTGGCAGTATAATCACGCGTAAAGCATTGTCCAAGTAAACAGTTTTCAGAGAGTGGCTGTGTACTAAAATTTTTAAAACTCGGGTGCAGTTACCGAAACTGATTCACGGAAGGCGGGACGATGTTACGCACCAAAAGTGCTGTAGTTTGCCTTTTTTTTTTTTTGCCGTCCCTGTTTTCGTCGCGCTAATATTCGTTTAAGATGGGTGTTACGCGCACTGTCTTCGTGTGCAGACGCAGTCACGTGGGGAAACAGCGCACATGGAGACCTAGATAACAAAGAAACGCACCACGGGAGCGCTGTTGTCGTGTGTTTTCTTACTGTTTTCTGCATGCTTTTTTTTCGCAGTGTTGCATTGCCGTTTTCTGGTATAAGCCCACGGGAGGGCTTCATACTCTCCCATTATAGAGCACTAAGTATAATCGTTAACCACTTTTTCTAAACTAAGAAGACCAAGATGTCAAAGTAAAGTGTTATAAACGCAGCTCGCACTCTCCCTCTCTAACATATTTTTCCAGAACAACATTTGCAAAGTGTATTACAGTGAATAGTTGTCAGCGCCTACAAAAATCTCCATGTCACGCACGCAGGCTCAGACGTTCACCATCCACAAGTTGTCCACCGTCCGCAAGCGGCAAGACCTGGGCACCGACGGAGTCGAGGACATGGTCAAGCTGGCGTGAGTCACGTGACTGACGTGCCCCTGACCCGGCAGCGTCTTTTCGCTTCCTTCCCCATTGTTGTTCTTGTTTCTCGTGGCGCCACATGGTCACTCGCGCAACGATCATTAGCTTGACCTTATAGTTTTACTCCGCTGAATACCGCAGCCCGTCAATATAGCCGCCGCTCTTCGCGTTGCCGATGCCAACAAGTAAATTAACTTTTGTCCCTTTCTCATGTTCGGTCTCGGGTGAATCGCCGACTCGTACCGAGCCCAAAACAGGTTCCACTTCGAAGATTTCCCGTCGAACTTTAACATTTCAAGCTTCGGTAGTAGCTTAACTATAGCTCCGTCGCGGCATGTCCTGTACTTGATGACGCCGCCTTCCTTGTCCTATCGTTTGAATCTGATTCCACGGGCTGTCGAAGTCTGAATTCTATTGCAGACAAGGTCGTCATTATTCTCTTGTCGTTCTCTATCGCTCTTTCGATTTCAGTTTCGGCAAGGTCTCCTGTCAAAAACTTTCCCATTTGCTTGGTCGCGCTCTTGACGGCCGTCGCTTATTCCTCTAATGTGCGCCTGCATGCGTTGTGAATAACTGCTCCCGGCTATAGCTCCATGCATCGTTAATTTGCGGCTCGGCTGCGTTAATCAGCTGGGTGATCTGGTAGCGAAGAGCTGTCCTTTTCTTCATTATTACTTTCTTTCTTAATTTTTAGGCGGTCAAAAAATGACGGCTTCCTTGTATAATTCGTCCGTTGCGACGATCGTGTACTGTCCAAAGGGGTCTCGTCGCTCGATCCAGGTCGATTCTATACGCTCCTCCGCCGTTTATTTCTCAGCTTCTCCGTGGCAGGTTGATTTTTCTCGCGGACGGGTAGGTATAGTATCCTGGTATAACTGTCAGTTCAAGCGCGCGAATAAACAGAAAGGAAGAGAGGACAAGCGCTTTCTCGCAACTAAACTGTTTATTAGAAAGGGCAGAATATATATATATATATATATATATATATATATATATATATATATATATATATATATATATATATATATATATATATATATATATATATATACACAGGCAATTATATACAGCACACGCATGCGTCGTGTTTTTCAATTGCCTGTATATATATTCTGCCCTTTCTAATAAACAGTTTAGTAGCGAGAAAGCGCTTGCCCTCTCTTCCTTTCTGTTTATTCGCGCGCTTGAACTGACAGTTATACCATGCATATCTAACTAGCCCAACTTTCGATTCTGTTATAGTATCCTGGTTCGTGGCACAACCGATAAAACGATCGACTCGAGCCACGACTTCGAACCAAAAGCGGTTTATAATCCTCTGAACGAACGAATTGATATAGTGCGCACTCGTGCCAGGGAGCATTCTTCTTTCTCCTTCTTCTGGTGTTTGACGACGATATTGTATAACGCTGTGCCACAGTGAAAGTTGCCGTACCAGGCATGTGTATACGTGTGTGTGTGTGTGTGTGTGTGTGTGTGTGTGTGTGTGTGTGTGTGTGTGTGTGTGTGTGTGTGTGTCAACCTTTTATTTATTATATATTTTTTATTTTCTTCCGCAGCGACCTGAGTGAAGCGGCGCTCCTGTGGAACCTCAAGATCCGCTATGACAAGGAAAAGATATACGTAAGTTGGCTGCTGCGTAGTGAGAAATTGCGAAAAATTACTCAGAGAAACTGCCGGCGCATTAGTTGTCAATTTTGATGTGGCGTAAAGACAACATATAAGAACTAACGAAAAGGATCCCACAAACGAAGTCATGTCGCGTCTATATATTATAAAAGGTGTGATGATGACGATATGTGAGATTTAACGTCCCAAAACCGCCATGTGATTATGAGAGACGCCGCAGTGGAGGGCTCCGGACATTTCGACCACCTGGGGTTCTTTAACGTGCCCCCAAATCTGAGCACACGGGCCTACAACATTTCCGCCTCCATCAGAAATGCAGCCGTCGCAGCCGGGATTCGATCCCGTGACCTGCCGGTCAGCAGCCGAGTACCTTAGCCACTAGGCCACCGCGGCGGGGCATTATACAGGGCGCCCACGTAACTTTAACCATATTTTAAAAATATGCCGGAACACGTAATTACGACACGACCAAATGCATGTTGCTCACTGTTGTCTGGAGTTACACTACTTTTTTTGTTCTCAAATATTGTTTAATTAGACCTCTTTAATTTACAAACTCTTTAAGAAACGAAAATGAATAAAAAAAATTTAATGAGAAAGATGTAGATCGGTTTGCAAAACATCTAGATAGATATAGTTTTGAACTTTATATCTGCTAAGTATTAGTGATTTTTTGCTACTTTACAAATGCCAGCGAAATAAAAAAAAATACCACGCGACAAAACCGCTCGCCCGTCAGTGCGCACGACGATTCTAGTGCTCCCTAACGTTCCGCGTACGAATATATATATATATATATATATATATATATATATATATATATATATATATATATATATATATATATATATATATATATATATATATATATATATATATATATATATATATATATATATATAGTGGGAGTAATAATTCAATGGGCCAGTTAGTCTTCGTGAAGGTATGGGATATATCACAACTCATCCCCTGATGAAGGGAGGTCCCCTCCCGAAACTGTTGGGAAATAAATATATTTATCCTTGTTGACAACGCTCCCGTTGTGATATATCCCATACCTATATATATATATATATATATATATATATATATATATATATATATATTTCTCAACACTTTCGGGAGGGGTCCTCCCTTCATCAGGGGATAACTCATCCCCTGATGAAGGGAGGACCCCTCCCGGAACTGTTGGGAAATAAATATATTTATCCTTGTTGACAACGCTCCCGTTGTGCCATATCCCATACCTTCACGAAGACTAACTGGCCCTTTGAATTATTACTCCCACTATATATATATATATATATATATATATATATATATATATATATATATATATATATATATATATATATATATATATATATATATATATATTTATCGGCCTACTTATTCATGAGTCGGCAAACTCGGACTCGCTGAGACTCCGATCGAGCCGTTAGTCTGAGAGTTCGAGAGAGTCCCGCTCAGGAAAATTTTGGTGACTGAGCTCAAGCGAGTCGTCCAAAGCGCAAGATATATAGAGTTGCGATATATATATAGACTTGTGCTGTCAGGTTCGAGCTGAGCAGTGCGGCCTTCCAACGCGAGCGGAGACTGGCGGTGGAAGAGTGAGATGAATCGGCACTGTTCGAATTAGGCCCTGACACTCCCACAGCATGTGACTAAGGGTGGCAACCTCGCCACATGACGTGCATCTGTTTGTAGTGTATATGTCTGGATACATGGCGTGCGTACTTTATTTTTTTTTTGCCGACCTAAGATAGTAGACCACGGGCTGTGTCCGCAAGTTGAAGAGTTGTTTGTGCATCCGCGTTTGCAGGCGCGTTCATGGCCTCGTTCCTGGCACAGCGGTCCATCGGCGCCCGCGGTTGTGTAAACAATGGGGGAAACTGCGATGTTCCGGTTTGGTCGTGGCGTTTTCTTTTTTTTTTTTTGTTTCACTTACGGGATGCCGTGAAGCGTGAGCCACGGTGAAGGGAGGAAGAGAGTAAGTCGAAAGGCCTTCAGGTCGCGCTTCAACGCGTTCTAGAGGCCACCCGTTTAGCGTAAAGAAACATAATTCGCAGTTCACACTGCAGCTTACACGCCTGAACGTATACGCTTGCAGATGCGTAAATGCGCAGTCGCGTTGCTCCAAGAACAACAGGAATTTGATTGATATGCTGGATTTAACGTCCCAAATTATGAGAGACGCTGTAGTGGAGGGCTCCGGAAATTTCGACCACCTGGGGTTCTTAAACGTGCACCCAAATCTGAGCACACGGGCCTACAACATTTCCGCCTCCATCGAAAATGCAGCCGCTGCAGCGGAGATTTGAACCCGCGACCTACGGGTCAGCAGCCGAGTAACTTAGCCACTAGACCACCACGGCGGGGCAACAACAGAAATTTCAACAGAAACACGAAATTTGGGCTTATTCGTGATGATAGAAGTTTAAACAGTGCACAAATAATTGGGCCTAAAGGACAGAACGACGCGTACACAAATCTTGTTCTCTGCGTGTGCGTCGTTACACTTTTCATTGTTTTTTACGTGCGCTGTTTAAATTCCTAATGAGCCAATGTCAAGTTATACAGTCTTATACCCCTGTGACACGGTCCATGTGATGTCATGCGCGGTAAATGAAAATTAATTAAATGAAATTTAATTAAGTAAACTAAGAAAATTAAGTAAATAAAATTTAATTCGAATGCCATTGCCGCGTTGCGTTCCTGGTTTACGCGGTTATAGAAAATGAGATTCGCAATTGATGTCGATGTTTGTAGTGAGTGCAGTGCGCTTTTTGCGTCCGATCACAAAACCGCTCGACTTTCCTAACATGCCTGGTGGATAAATATCACGTGCGAAATTGCTTGAACAGCTGCAATGTGCAGCGTAAAGATTTGATAGAGTTAACAATAGTCATTGATGAGAACTTTACCGTTGATTTACGTTTCGCTGTAACTTATCAATTTCGTAATTTTTCGTTGAACTCCTGTCGTCGACAACAGATGTCGCCCTTGCCCGAAGTTCGAAAAAACGCATTCAATGAGCGAATGGCATTAGCCGTCAATCTTATCCGTTGTACCCGCGCAGAAGCAAGAAAAATGGCATTTACACCTAGTCACATTTGCTGCGGATTACATTAGTAGAGGTATTCCCTTATGCAACTCAAGAACGTTCTCCAATTCATTTTTGCTTCGTGCGACAAAAGAGTGGAACAGACGTCCCGGTTACATTGTTACTATTAATGATAACTACATGTTCCATGATTCATTAATCATTATTTAACATGTATCAGTATGTGAATGTATTAGCTAACAATGCGTTGTGCGAGGTTTGGTTTACTTTTTTTTAATTAAGTGTATTCACTGCTTTTGCTCACCATATTTTGTAACACCAACACCCTTCTGCAAATATTTCTAAATTAAAATTGAATAAATAATAAGTATTCTGTGTAACAAGGTTATTATTGCACCCATTTGAATGCACGGCTAAAATGGTGGAGCTGCATTCAGTCGCACTTGAATGTGGTTTATAAGTACTTGACAGACGATTCCAATTAAAACGTGTAACATAAGTAGTTTGTCGCAAAAAGTAGGATTCAAAATTATTTATTATTACAGCGGGGCTGGGCGGTTATGCTTGCAGACATGTTGTTTTAGCTCAAATTGCATCAAGTGCAAGTATAGGAATGAGCCCCTGGAATTGCGGCAGCGCGTACAATTTTAATTTTCATTCATTGAAATGGACAGCGGGCATAATGCAAGCAAGTTAAATTGTTCTAAAATTTGCAACAGGGGTAGCTTGGCGTGAAAAACTAGAATTCGAATTATGCTTGCGCAATGCTTGAACACCGAGCAAGAGTGTGTTAGTGCAAATGTGTTGGCGCACTGCAAGCACGCCTGGAACCTGGAACCTGAAAGTAGAACCTTGAACTTCAATAGTGGAAGTGCGTCGAATAAAATGTTTCGTCGTCTGCATTCACATGAACGAGCAGAAGTCATAGTGCGAGTAGACTCATCCACCACTGACTATGCAGCATTGTGTCGGCACACTCATTCACACCTGAACGCGGAATTGCAAATAGTTCCGTGTGGTGGCGCAACCTTGAAAGTGTACACGTAAGCCGTGCTAGTTAAATCGCAGTTAAAAGTGCGACAGAAGTTGTTCAGCGTGATGAAACGGCCATCGCACTTTGTACAGTCTACACTGTGTTCCGTACATTGTGTCCGTGCATTTCGTGTATGGCGGCAGTGCAGTTGCATCTGCATATACACGTGAGCACGGATACATCGTTAAGCGTGCATTTCTTTAAAAATCCACGCTTTGTGTGAATGGGTGAAAATAAAACGCTGTGGTCTAGTGCTAAAAAAAAAAAGACATCGTCATCATGTATGCGTGTGCGTCACAGAAATTGCGCAAATTTAACTGCTCACCATATGCTAAAAGTGAAGAAGGGAAACACCTGGTCCGAAAACACAGTTAAAATTTCCACGCTGACGTAACCGATGAGTGAGGAAGGCTAATGAAACGCCGAGGTCAACCCAGCGATCAGCAATTTTCAGCTACGCTGTTAAACCCTCTGCACGAAGTGGATGGGCGCCCCGCCGCGGTGTTCTAGTGGCTAAGGTACTCGGCTGCTCACCCGCAGGTCGCGGGTTCATATCCCGGCTGCGGCGGCTGCATTTCCGATGGATGCGGAAATGCTGTAGGCCCGTGTGCTCAGATTTGGGTGCACGTTAAAGAACCCCGGGTGGTCGAAATTTCCGGAGCCCTCCACTGCGGCGTCTTTCATAATCATATGGTGGTTTTGGGACGTTAAACCCCACATATCAATCAAGTGGATGGGCAGTGACTTTTTTTTTCGTCAAACGTGACCGTACGTCTTGTACTCTTTGCGCAGACTTACACGGGCAGCATCCTGGTGGCCGTGAACCCGTACAAGATGTTCGACGTGTACGGCGTCGACGTCGTCAACAAGTACCAGGGACAGATCCTCGGAACGCTGCCACCGTGAGTATTTCTAGGATTCATAAGTACTCTTTCAAGACGGGATGAGGAACGTTTACAAACACGGACACGGGAAGGAAACTCCAACACCACGGGCGCTTGGGTCCGCGTTCGAACGCGCTCCTATATCCTGCCTTGAAATGAACCAATACCAACTAGCTCAGTTATCTGTGCTATACTGCAATCCATGGATGAGTAGCTGTTTCACAGACAGATGTGCATAAGATTAGCTCAAACTGATTTTGCTTCGGCGCTTCCTCGTGGCGAAGAAAAGAGAAGTGAAAATTTAACAGGGCTCACAGACAATGAGGACTTAGGTATAAGGACAACGGCGCAGTGCCCGTTTTTAGTCCGTGCGTGCATGCTTTTTGTTTTTGTTCTTTTTCCTTAGCGATAGCTCAAACAAGTCCAAGTCCGCAGTGGAGGTCGGTGCTCAGGCGAGATGGTATGGCAAGTAGAAATTAAAAGAGCGCAAGACACAGAAGAATACAACTACCATAGTAATAATCTCGAGGGTTCTACGTCCTAAAGCCACGATATGATGATATGAGGTGTGCCGAGGTGGATGGCTCTGAAAATCGCGCCCATCTGGTGTTTCTTTAGCGTACGTTCACATCGTACAGCGCAGATGGCCCTGCCATTTTGCATCCATCGAAACCGCCGGGGCTCGAACCAGCGACCTTCGTATAAGCAGCCTAACACCATAAAACACTGTAGCGCGAAAAACGGTATAGTGTTTCTCGCTACAACACACAATGTCAGTGTAAGGGCACGATATTGTTATGTTTTCTTCTTCCCCCGTTTAATGGCCCTCTAGTTTCTGGAGCTGTTTTTAAAGTTGTTTTATATTCTAGGTCTGCACTTTTTCTTTTTTAACCATAGTGATATGCTATAGCACCCAAGTACTCGAATTACGCGGGGTGTCATCCGAATTATTTTCAAAGGGGAGGGAGAAAGGGGAATATTCGATTATTTCATGCATTTTTTCCCGTATGTTCATGTACGTATGTATGTATAGTACGTGTGTGTATATACATGTATATAGGTATTGAATTGAAAAATTCCGGGGGTGGGTGGTAGGGGACCCTCCTTTTTGTCTAGCAGCAGTTCTAGTGGTAAGTGGTTGTCTGTTTGACGAAGTAAATACAAAATGAAGAAAGGAAAAAAAGAAGATTAGTTCGGACGACCTCGTCGCAACTGTCTGGCTCGAGAAAGGGCCACCTGAACGGCAGTCATCAGTGGATGAAGGGGCAGTAAACGACAGAGATAGAGGGAGAGGGTGGTTGGGGGGGTGGGACCCGTTGAAGACTGGCCGTACCGGCGGACACAATAACGTGGAGCTTATTCCTGGGCTTGATGGAAAACTAGCGAAGGTAACAAGCATGGTCCGAACACAACTCCCGGCTTTTGTGGGGCGAAGAGGTTTGCAGAAAATGTCGCGGGCGGCGGGCGGTGCGCAGTATCGTATACTTCCTCGGAAAGAAGGGATATTTGTTTGTTTGTTTGTTTGTTTGAATTTTCGTTTGTTTCTTTGTTCGTTCGTTTGTTTGTTCGTTTGTTAAAAAATGGGTGGATCAGTTTGTTCGCTTGGTAATGAGGCAGGCGTCTACAGGCCTCCCGAAGCGCGGCTGCGTGGCTGGGATTTTTGGACGGAGCGGTCCCGTCAACCGGTCGTGTTTCGCGAACCTTCCCCCTGGCCTTCTTCGTCGTCGTCCCGCTCTAGTCCGCATCTTCCTACGAGCTTGCTTACTCGTGTCCCCCGTACTCGTCACTAACCCTAACGTCGTGCCCGTAAGCTGAGGCGGCCGTCGCCGAATGTACCTCGCACGCGTCAGCGTGAAGCTTCAAGTCGGTTCACCACCACTGACCGGGGTCGCGGCCAAGATGTGTTGCCCGTGTGTGTGAAGAGTGCAATCAGTCCGGCTCGCTCGGATACGGCGCGACTCGCATCGTGGATTAGAACGACGCCGATGGAAGACGTGATGGTGTCGGATACGGTGACGGTTTTATGCGAGTACGTCGACTACGAAGACTGCGATCTCGTCTACTATGACGACATTGCTGACGACAGGTAGACGTGTTTTTCTTCGTCGCTCCCAAAGACTGATATGAATGCGGGAGTAGTTAGTGCAAAGAGCTTGTTCCGTGCTCCTTTTCATACATGAGGTGCGAAAGCCATAGCGAGACTCGTTGGAGTGAGTTCATTCGCACCGACATATAGTTTGAATATTTTACCAAACATGTCAGTTTTTTTTCTTAGTATTTAAACTGATGCGTTATGCCTTCTGAATAAACAAGCCCAGTTATTGATGCGGTTTCCAATGAATTGTTTTGGATCGCTTAGCGTATATTTGTTGTCATATCGTGGCCTCCTCGATTACTTCGGATAGTGCGCAACCGGAACTAATCGCGGAGGACACGCTTACAGTGGCGAATCAAAGTACGAAGCAGCATCGCGAGTTGGGCGAGTTGGTGGATGTTCATCAGCTGAGAGTTCAGCGCTGTGTCGCTCCTCTGTCCGTATCTAACCCGTTTCGCTGTAAAATATTCCACGATTAAAGTACGAGTAGCACGGGACATTTTGCTGACCAAACCTCCTCTGTTGCTTCCCCAGCGTCGCACTTTGTGATGCTCTCTTGAATAGGCGCCTCTTAATTGGAACAAGCACTTGCTGCGTCATTCTTGTTATGAAATGGAGAGGGAGGGCGAAGAGGCAGAACGGCTATAACCGGAGGAGGAGGAGGATACAACTTTAATAAAAGAGACTTCATGGGTTTCTAGCTGGCCGCTTGTCTGCGGCGACCTCTTGTGCCCATGCAATGACTGCTTTCTGCAGTTTTTCGTCGGGGGACCGTATTTAAAACTCCCATGTCGTTTCGGAGGGAGCTGCCAGAAGCTCTCTGAGTGGGGGAAGGCTCTCGCATTCCCAGAGGATGTGACTTTGGTTTGCTATGACATTTTTGTCGCAATGTTTGCATGTTGAGTCAACCGGACTATAATACGCCGTGCTTCCAACCGGGCTGCAGAAATTAGGCGCCTTCTTCTTCTTCTTCTTCTAACCACTACCACGACCACCCTTACGAAAGCGAACGTTGTGGGCATTTGTAAAACACCTCTTCATGACCTGTACGTAACCATCATCAATATGTATTCAATCTTCAATGTGTCCATGTGGGTGTGTTCTTCACTTTACAGCCACCTGTTCGCCATCAGCAGCGCCGCCTACTCGAAGATGAGTAAGGACAGCGAAGACCAGGTCATCGTCATCAGGTGGGTGCTATAGTTTCCCCGTACTTTATTCTGTACGCGCTTAGTTTTCATCAGCTAGAGCTGACGAATACTGAGCGCGTCTCGTGCTCGTCTTCACGCGTTTACGGTTTGATATGGCCGTTAGTCTGCTACGGGTGTGGCGGTGTTTTTAATGAGACACGTACGGAAATTAGCCTTAATGATCAAGGATGTAGATTCAGTCACTTATCGGTACTGGTTTCGGTTTGGTCAGCTTGTATATTCCTGATGTGCTTGGCACATTTGTTTTTGTAGTTGTTGCGTGCTTGTTTGCGCAGTATGTGTGTGTGTACATTCATAGAGGAAGGAAAAGGAAAATAGGTGATAAAGAGCGGCAGGGAGGTTAACCAGCCTATAGGCAACCGGTTTGCTACCCTGCGCATGCGAGGGGGAGGGGGAGATGAAAGATAGAGAGCAGAGAGGGAAGAGAGATAAACACAGCACGTAGGGCAGCACACGCGCACACATTCATAGAGGGGGAGAGATGAACAAGAGAGAAGGCAGGGAGGTTAACCAGGCACATGCCCGGTTTGCTACCCTACGCTGGGGGAATGGGAAGGGGGGCACATTCATAGAGAAAATGCATTTGGGTAGGCGCCTCTCTAATGCAGGGTGGTGTAAAGGGAGATTGTACTCTATGATTGTTGTGCAATTATGAAACAACAACAGAAACAAATTAGAGTGGCGGCTATGTGTTTGTTCCGCCTGAAAGAGAACGTTTAGACTCGCCAGTGTAGGACTGGATATATATGTATATATGCTATTTTTTTGTAACAATCAAGCAAAAAAGAGGGTAGCCGTCGCCAAGTAACGGTGACAACTCCTTCGTTTATTCTTTTTGTAACAATCAAGTAAAGAGAGGGTAGACGTCGCCAAGTAACGGTGACGACAACTCCTTCGTTTATTTTTGTATTTCAGTCATACAAGAAAACCCCATTTACTTCCATGAAGTGTTACGCAATGTGGACTGTGATCTAAGGGTTCGTATTAAACAACGTGCTATCATAAGCATCCGTGTAGTTGCTAGGTTAAGTTCGTTGTCGACTTCTGTTTATTATTATTATTATTATTATTATTATTATTATTATTATTATTATTATTATTATTATTATTATTATTATTATTATTATTATTATTATTATTATTATTATTATTACTATTAACTAATCAATTAATTATAATTAATTAAGTAACGACCAGACTAGCTCCAAATGGCGTAAACTATAAACTTAGGGAGTAGAATGTTGGGTCGCATAGTGCATGCGGGGTGTTATTGAAGACACTGGGGCAGTAACTAGCTTGAAAGAGTGTATTCACTTCTTCACTGTTACAAAGGTGTACTGCATGGTGTGTACGTGAGGCTATATATACGGGACAATATACACCCTAAAAGGTGCTAAATGTCTTTACAGCTTTGTGGACTGTGCTGTAGCCGGCTACAACATAAGAATAATTACTAGCTCCAGCGCTCGTATCACTGTTTGACCCGAGCAAAATGTGCGTATAGACGTTCCACCCAATCGAATCTGCTCGTTGCCGTGAATCCAAGAACCTGTTCGCTGTTTCAGGTACAGGATCATTCCTTTAGTACTGGCCTATTTAAAATTCAGTTGTAGTTTCGTTCCAAATTAGACTATATTGACGCTGTTTGCGTGCCCCGCCCCGGTTGTCTAGTGGCTAAGGTACTCGGCTGCTGACCCGCAGGTCGCGGGATCAAATCCCGGCTGCGGCGGCTGCGTTTCCGATGGAGGCGGAAACGTTGTAGGCCCGTGTGCTCAGATTTGGGCGCACGTTAAAGAACCCCAGGTGGTCAAAATTTCCGGAGCCCTCCACTACGGCGTCTCTCATAATCATATGGTGGTTTTGGGACGTTAAACCCCACATATCAATCAATCAATGACGCTGTTTGCGTCAGATCATTATCACTGGAGGCTCCTCACGTTACGCAGGAACCAAACACTCGGCCTTTCGCCCATGCGCGCCGTGCAGTTTAACCTTGACGCATGCGCGTTTGCGAGTGCCCGGCGTGTCTTCGACGCGGTGCAGTTTGGACGCGACCTCCTCTATAAACTTACGACCCGCTCATGCCGCCACTCCCCGTGTCGCCATATTTGCTTTTGCTTGTTTATTTCTTTTTAGTTCTCTAAAGTGCCACAGCACTAAAAACAGCACGCCTTGGCGCTGCGACTTACCCCTATCGCTGCAGCCGTCGAACTGTTTTTATGCACGCGCGTGCGCGCCTTCGCTCGTTTTTTTTTTTCTAAGGTGCAGAGATTGAGATCCGGTAGTGAAGAAGACTTCGGAGCCAACCACAGTGGCGCATCTGACAACTAGAGTGTTGCTTCGAGACGCTTAATATGTGAATCGCTTCATAACTGCACACCCGCTCACATGTTCTGGCAGTGCCCGGCGCTACATGGCGCAAAGTTCAGCACAGAAGAAGACTGGGAGAGGGCTCTTGAAAGCCCCGAACTCTCAGTCCAATACTCGGCCGTCCAGGAAGCCTGCGAACGGGCGGAGGGCCACGGTATTTCATTGATGATTGATTGATATGTGGGGTTTAACGTCCCAAAACCACGATATGATTACGAGAGACGCCGTAGTGGAGGGCTCCGGAAATTTCGACCACCTGGGGTTCTTTAACGTGCACCCAAATCCGAGCACGCGGGCCTACAACGTTTCCGCCTCCTTCGGAAATGCAGCCGCCGCAGCCGGGATACGAACCCGCGACCTGCGGCCGCGGTCTTCCAGTCTCGGCGTGAATGCGGCCAGCAACTGCGGTGGACTCCTCTTAAGGGGGTGTCTGACCACTTCTCCAGGACCGAATAAAGTTCATTTCACTTCGCTTCATCGACGCGTTAGAAACTAGGAAAACAATTGAAAGAACGCGCACGCACTATGCAGACGACATAGCAGACGACGTTCTTGCGTCGTCTGCTATGGGGGGTAAGTCGTGGCGGCACGTGGCGGCATCTCTGGTCTCTACGCGCCAATTTTTTAGACCCAAACGCCTCCATAGGGGTTGCGCCGATGAGCAGGTCTATAGGTTTATAGAGGAGGTCGTGGTTTGGGTAACACGGCAGGCGCTAAACGCAGCATCTCGTGGCGGCTGCCGCCGTGGAATGGCGCGTTGGACGTGTTCTGTGTTGCATATCAGGAAAACGGACGGACCATTAAGTTTCCCTCGTTCCCTCCCTGAATGTTCTGCCGCGATCCGCATGAAGGCATGCTGTGTTCGGAAAACACTGTTAACGATTTGCCCACGTATTCAGAAACGCTCGTTGACTTGCAGGTGATTGGCCTCCGCCTTCAACAGAGCACAAATGCGTTTCAAACGCGTTGCAATAAGCGCGTTGGCAAGTTGAATTCAAGTCAAAAAGCGTTTGTGAATTCGGAGGTCAGAGTACATACCGTACGTATTTAGTCTTCGATGGGAGGGTGGCGTTCCTTCCTGAATAGAGGGATGAATGTGCGGTTACAAAGCCATAACGTAAGTCACGAGTAAGATCTCAGTTTTCTTGTTTAAAAAAATTATTTTCACTACCTACAGAGCCTAAGTTATGCGTGGCAAATCAGTGCTCAAGAGTACATTCACATTTTCACAATTGTACATAGCGAAAACTAACATTTCCGCGTAGAACGATCAGCAGAATTCTGATCAACGGAACAACAAATGCACATAACTCACAATCGACACAATAGGAAACAGGGCAAATGGGTAGGTGCACACAGTCTTCTATCGTGTACACCAGGACTCACCAGGACATGAGATACTGAGGTGGCGAACACAGATCTGAAAGGCAACGAGACAAGCTCGTCAACTTTTGACCTGACGGTGCTGTTCAGCACCATGTCAGCCGAAAATGAAGTTCGGCCCATTCATGCTCAACGTTGACAAAAGAGCACGGCCAATGGAGCAGTTGTGAGTTTAGAGAAAGTATTTAACGATTTGGAGCACTTGGTACTATGCAGCGTCTGTTTAGAAAAAAAGTGGTTAACCATTTAGAGTAGTTGCTACTCTACCATGCGAGAGGAGAAAGCCGTCCCGCGGGATCTCAACACTTGATGATGACACATCGACAAAAATTGTGAATACGCCCCCTGCTTACGGCGGACTAGAATATCGTCTCCACGACGGTTGTATGTCTGTTTAGAAGAAAAAAATTATTCACAGACATTGGACATCAACGCCTTTTGTACAGTATGTTGCAACAGAATAGAACACGTGTGTTTAGATAAAGTGTTTGACTATTTAGAGTAATTGATACTCTACTACGGGGGAGCAGAAGCCGTCCCTGTCAGACGACCATTTAGTCTAGAAGTAAAGAAGCTCACACGTTTTATAAGTGCACACACGTTTTATAAGAACACGCACCTGTGTGTAGAGAAATTTATTCTCGCCAACAGTGAACATCAATTACAATACAACAGAACATCACGACAGAACACAAAATCCGCAGACACACCGAACGCTAATACAAAAAGATATGTTTGCACATGTACACGGAACACACCATGCGCAGATACACAAGAATCGTTAAAAAAAAAGATATGTCTACGTATGCACAACAAATGGTAAACGAAGAACACACAGATGAAATTTAAAGATCTATGTGTCAAGTATATACAAGGTATTTGTGCGAGTACTTTGTTTACTAAGATTAACCTACCAAAACCAGGCAAGCCACCTGCGTTTAGAAAAAAAATTATTGTAACAAACGTCAATAACACTCAACAGAACATTTCCTTCTTAGACATACTGTGTGTTTAGAAAAAGTGGTTAACTATTTAGAGTACTAGGTACTCTACTATTGGGGCCGTCGCATCAACAACGGTCTCGTACGTCAACGAACGTGTAAGAACTACCACGGCCGGACTCGACGCTCCTTCCGCACGCTCCTTACGGCCTTCTCAATACCGGCGCCGCGCATATATTTTTTTCTGACGCGTAGAGGGCAGCACCACCTCACTGTCTCCGCCGGCTCCCCGCGTCGCCGACTGCGACTTTTCTTGACTGCGTTCGATGACCTCGGGTAAACAATGCATCAGACACGCTCAGGCACGCTAACTGCACTAGCGTAGCCATGGTTTATTGTTGCGTGCCGCTGTGTAAGTCACAGCAAGGGAAGACACCGGGTGTGTCGTACCACCAATTTCCTAGCGATGAGGAACTGTGTTCGAAGTGGAAGAAAAATGTTTCACGTGAAAACCTCGTCATCCATGACAAGTCCGCATCGACTGTAGTGTGCAGCAAACACTTCACGGAAAATGACTATGTTCCCGGATATCGTATCCGGAAACTGCGTCCAGGAGCCGTGCCCACGGTCTTCGATCAGTATCCTTCGTACATGGTCCCGGCTACGAAGAGGCCGCGTAAAGAACCTGCAGCGCGTGGCCCCTCGGCCACCTCGGCTCCTCGACAGCCGACGAAACGGAAAGCGGAGTCATCGCCGTCTACCTACGGGAAGTTCAAGTCCACCTTACGACAAAATAAATATTGCTTTTTTTCTCTCTGAATTTCGTGCGCTGTAATGGATTACTGTTGCTTGTGACAACACGCGTGTGCGAAAATCCGGGAAAGCTGCCGGAATGGTTGCGACTGGGTAAGCGGTGCTCTCAGAGGTCGACTATACCATTTTAACCTCATCACATGCAACGACCGAGCTGTATTGTGTGGATAAAACGTTCATCTTCAAGAATTCAGGCGCCGCAGTTGGTTCTGTTCCTCGTACTCAGCGCTGTTATGATGGCCATAGCGCTGTGGCGCGCACACTGCGCCCATGAACGTGCTTGGAAGCGGCGGAGCAACAGTGGTCTAGCAGCGCCACCCCGAACTTGCGGCGGCAGGCAGCAAAACGCCCCAATGCGAAGGCCGTAAGGGGAGCGCCGGAGAAGGAGTCGAGTCCGGCCGTGGAACTACCAAGCAACCGATTTGGCTGTTTGGGGGGGGGGGGGGGGGGGTAGAAAAAATGTTTAACGATTTCGAGTACTTCGTACTCAACTATGGGAGAGCACTGAGCCGTCCCACTAACACATTCGAAAATATCCACGCTTATCGACTGTTCGTGTGTTTAGAAAAAGTTGTTAACGATTTAGAGCACTTTGTACTCTACTATGGGAGAGCTGAAAGCCGTCCCGAGACTACTGCAATGTTGACTACACTAATGGATTACCAAGCAACATATTTGGTTCCCAAGAGCTGCTCGGCAAACCAGCTCTGTTCCACCCGACCAGAAAAAGGTCTGTTCTACAGAAAAATCGACTGTTCTACAGAAAAAAAAAATCAGCCAATGAATAGTTGAGCTCAGCAGAAATAACGGTATAATTGCTTATTATTATGCATGCACGTATTTGTGTCACTGGGTTCTTATTCGAACACTTGAACGTCCCCGCAAATTTCATCTCATATGTTCATTTCAATGCTTCGTCAAACGTCATATTTTAGGCAGCGACGACGAATCTTTATTTTTTTATAAACGTGACACTTAATTAGTTCGGAACCTTTCCTTTGAATGCTTCGCATAACGTCGACTCCCAACGAACGTGGCGTGGAATTTGCCGATTTTTTTTTTTTTCAGCTTGCTCAGGGAAACGCTTGCGTTTGCTAGTCAAGGCTCCAGAGTAGCACGTGGCCTAGGATTTACGATTATTATAGTTCACAAGGTCAGCTAGAAATCGTTCCTTTATTTTTCTCTCGACAAACGATGCCGTGAACTCTCAAAACCTGAACGAGAAGGCCCGCCGAACCGTGCGAGATCTAACCCACCACGGCTCGGACAGCGACGGCCCGGCCCCCACGCACCGACCACTGAAGGGGGGACGACTGTGGTGGAGGCGATGGGGACGATGGAGAGGATGACGATAATGAATATGCGATACAAGACGACAGAGACAGACTGGCCACGTATCATGCAACATTGGCACACTATAAGCGACAACGAGAAGAATATCCGCCATCCCACAAACAGCTAGACAGATCTCAAGAAACGGATTGGCGAAGATTGCAAACCAGAACATTTTCAAATTCAGTACACCTGAACCGAGTAAATTCCAGACAGTACCGACAAACAAGCTGTGCCCTCTGTAAGCACGAACACGCAGATATTTCACATATTCTATGGCGATACACACAGGTCACAGTCGAGTTTATATTGTCGAGAGGACAATATAAAACAGGACCTTCTCGAGGAGCAATGGCTAAGTGCGCTGACTGGCTCAGATCTGCACGACCAACTGTGGGCAATCCGGCGGGCCCGGACAGCGGCGGAAAGGCTGCGCCTCGCCGCACAAAACGTCGGGGTGGCCTGAGCCCGGGCCGGTAACCCTGCAGTGTTTCTTTTTTCGTTAACTTTTTAATAAAGTTTTTTTTTCCGTCCGTCCGTCCTAAATGACCGCGCTATAACCTGAAAGTCTACGACCATCGGCGGATTTGAGCATCGTGAGCAGCATAGTTACAGCGGTAGACGCAAGATGCCGCCACGCGCTTGGGAGTGCGCTCGCGATCCCACAGTCAGCCGCGCACTTAAAGGGAAAAAAAATAAACGAAAGTTCTCGAGGTCATGTCGCGCGCTTGACGTAACCTTCTTCCCTTGTGCCATTCGTACTTACCTTCGAGCGCGCTCGTTCAGGTGTGTGAGGAAAAAAATGAAAACGTATGGAGCGCTCTACAAATTCTTGTAACTCAACTCGTATGCGGTGGATTCTAAAAATTTTTGCGGCATTTGACCGGCGAGAAAATGAGCTCAGTATTGAATCCATTCGACCAATACATGGAAAAGTGTTTCAGGGCCTCTGTAAGGGGAGTGATTAGAGTGTAGCACATGCCGTAAAATGCCGAACAAGTGCACCTATACGGCAATGGATACGGGAGGGGGGGGTGGTGGGTGCTTGCTCGATTTTGGACTGAAATCAAGACGGTGGCGAGAGAGCCGCTAAAGATAAAAAAAAAAGCCAGTCTACCATGTTTCTAATCTAACGGTTTATTTTTAAATAATTTCATAGACATCATTAGATGCGCAGATACGCATTGATTCTAATAGTTCTTCAGGTTTTTTTTACACAAGTGATATTCATCTTGAAAAAAAAAGTGTTTTTTTTTTAGGATGGGGGGGGGGACTACCTAATGAAAACGTGTGAGGCCAAGGTCGTCCTCGAGCACCTGGAAGACCAGCAAGGACTCGTCGCCAGGGCCAAGAGGGCAGTCGAAGCCAGAGGGTTCCTGGACTAGGGAACCCTCCTACCTTAGGGTAACACCGGGCCTCGCTAAGAACACTGTTGTCTAAATAAACGTTTATTTCTCTCTCTCTCTTCCGGGGGGGGAGTGTTTCTATGAGTCATTGGCGCCTACTTCAGATCTCCCAGATAGGAGAAGGGGACTCCGCGTTTTGCAGTAGCCTTTACAGTGTAGTACCATGTCGGGGTGCACACACTGACCTATACGCACCGTGTCGTCGCAGCGGCGAGAGTGGAGCGGGAAAGACGGAGAGCACCAAGCTGGCGCTGCAGTACCTGGCCGCGGTCAACCGCAGCCCGAGCAACCTGGTCACCGAGCAGATCCTGGAGGCCTCTCCCCTCCTGGAGGCGTTCGGCAACGCCAAGACGGTGCGCAACGACAACTCGTCGCGGTTCGGCAAGTACCTGCGCCTCTTCTTCCGAGACGGCGTCATCACGGGCGCCAACACGACCGACTACCTGCTCGAGAAGTCGCGCATCGTCACGCAGGTGAGCACGAGGCGATATCCGCAGTTCCTCTTTAGCGAAATGCGCTGTATATAGGCCATTTTACGGACGAGTTTGAGTGCTGCCGTATTCGGCTGTTAACCTTTGCGTTTCGTATCTTTAATAGAGAGTTTTAGTACTGCGTACGTGGCGGCGTTGCGTACGTAAGGACGCCACGTTCTGCGTAGTGCGCATGCGCAGACCGCAACGCGCACGTATCGCGTTACGTACGCAGCCGCGTACGTATGAGCTGATCGCGCCGCTCTCGAACAAGTTCGCGACAGCGCGAGACTTCGTCTTGCAAAATGGCGGCATTGAAGGCAAGCACCGACTGGCTCTGTGGCTTAAAATATGGCCATAATCTGGCTATAACACTTCGATTGGCTCACATTGGCTGTCAACAACACGTGCTTCTATTTTGATCTACCAGATGACGCAACACGCTTGACGCTCGTTACGTACGCGGGTACTACAGCGTACTAAAAGCCGATTAGTGGCAAACGACGCCACGTAACGCAAGGCGCTTGCGTAATGCGTACGTAGCACCATTCCGCAGTACTAAAACTCTCTATTAGCTAAACTAACAGCGTTCGCTAGACCTATACGCATGAAAATGGTTGGCTTTGTGCCTACGATGTTTGATGGCCTTATTAATTAATGTCGCGCTGTAAAAAAAACGAAGAAAACATTGGCTTTACAGCCAAGATGGCGGCTCCCAGATGACTTACGGAAAATAGACCGTACACTAGCGTGAATCATGACCCCCCCCCTTCCCCCTGTGTTCAGATAGACTATAGGAGAAGCAGCCCTTGCGAGTGTCTGCCCTTGAGATTGATCTTTCAATCGTCATACTTAATTTGTTTGAGAGTCAAGTACAGTGAACCTTCCGTAACTCTGAACTCTGCATGGAACTCTTCGAAGAGTACACATGAAATCCAAAAGTAAAATATTTATTTTTTTGTTTCGAAAGAAACTAGGGAGCACAAGCTTTCTGACATTCTATCAATTGAGTGCCGTACATGTTTACGATTCCGGGCTTTGAGATGCATGCAAAGTAAAATAGTTGCGGACCATCGAACCTCATTTATGTCAATGATTATATTGTAACAGACTACAGCTCGCTGTTACAATATATAGGAGGAAGCCATTGACAATGAAGTATACGTTCGACTGCTTGATTATGATAATGCTAAAATAGCGCTCCTTGTTATTCGTTTCACAGATCAATATTTATTATCATGTTATTAAAAATAAAACCCATGTTTATAAAAATTAAATGGTTGCCTTGGCAAGTTGTGTCCAGAGTGTACTATAAGTGACTCTAGTACACTAGTTGTGTAGTCCACTGTGATTTTCCTGGCTTTAGACTGCATATAGCTTGGCCATTCGAAACTCAACCAACAATTAGCCACTTCTAACTCTGCGAACAATTACTTACTAAAAAGAAACTATCTTCATCATAAACGGCTTTTACCTTCAGTTAAAACAATTGCCACCGTGATTGCCCAGACCTATTCAAAAGCCGAGGGTGCCTATTCTATACAAAAGGAGTTTCCCTCGCTGAACTCAAACTGCATTTGGCTAATTGGGTGTGGCGTGACGGCGATTATGCGAGTCATACGTCATGAACACATCGTAACTCCACGATATTGCCTGGTCGCAATTTACGTTCCCGAAAGAAAACCCCTGTCAGTGTCAGCAAAATTAGGCCACCCCTATTACTCCCCACTTGTCTACTAAAAATAAACAGGAACATTAAGTGAATAATAAAATAACTGAATGAATAAATTAACGAACGAACGAACGAATGAATGAATGAATGAATGAATGAATGAATGAATGAATGAATGAATGAATGAATGGGCTGTGTGCAGCACTTGGGACACATGCAGATTGAGAGTTGGAGCACGTACTGAGTTCAGAAACGATAGGTGAATGTCTAGATAAACAAATAAACGACCTGCTCATTGGCTGGCTCAGTGACGTTACTTAATGTTTCGGCTGCGCAGCGCGTTCAGCGAACGCTATATTTAAAATATGAGTTGCGGCGCTAACTCATTACTAAAGTTACCCTTTTGACTGTCATGCTCCCCAAACCGTTTCCCCAGTTTAGAACATAATGTCGGTTTATGCTGAGATATAGTTATAATCCTTGCTGCATTTTTCTTCTCTCCTATTTTTTCCCCCTCGAAGTACGCAAATATGTTATTCTCTGATATTCGCGAAGGCTCTTCGACCTGACTTGCACTACGAGTTGGTCGTTCGCGAGGCCTATTCGCTTCGCCTTTGTCGTTCCGTTTCTTGCACCAGGACACAGTCGAAACGTCCCCGTTCCAGTAGAGTTTCCCTAAAATGAACCATAGAGGGGACTCTGGCGCTGCGATCGTTCAGCCGCCTTGGAAATGATGGGTAGTGCGCGGATTTGCCAAGTCATCGTGCTTGCGGGCTACGGCCGCACATGTGGTTACATTTATTGCTGTGTCGTGGTTTCGTTTTGAATAACAGAACGGACAGTTGTGAAATTCGTGAGCCGATTTGAATTGGTCAGCCTAAAAATGGCCAAGGTGGTGAAGCGTAACTTTAAAGCTTTGGGAAACATCGTCTTGTGGCAAAGCGGATTGGTGCCATACGGAGCCGAGAAAACGAAGATTAGACGAATTTGTGTACTACCGATCCTTCTTATACTGGCTGAAGCGTCGTGCGTTGTAGCTTTCATGAACGCTATAGCGCAAGAGTGTCATCTAGTGTACTTATAGGAAACTCGATGGTCTTTCCGGATGCAGTGTCTATTGTGTAATATCGACTCTCGGAAACGTTGAAAGTTTCATGCCTCGCGTCGTCCGCGCCCGCTCCCCCCCCCCCCCCCCCCTTTCCGTATGAGCAGGCCACCGAGGAGCGCAACTACCACGTCTTCTACGAACTCCTGGCCGGCCTCTCGGACAAGGACAAGGACAAGTACGGTCTCCAGACGGCCGACAAGTACTTCTACCTCAACCAGGTGAGAAGGATTGTTGTTATTACTACTTCGGTAATGATTTTATTCTTTGATGTGTGTGTGTCAGAGAGAGAAACAACCTCCTCAGCTCGCTGTGTGGCCCGGAGCTGTACTTCTAGGCTCGTATCGCGGATTACGCTTTCCCACTTTTCCACGCCTCGGACGAGGGGAGTGGTCAGGAGATCAGGCGGGGGTGGATCCTCGCTGCAGTCCCATAGTATACGAGGGAGGGAGGCGACGGAGTCGCACTTTGAGCAATGCGGACTGAACAGATCGGGGTAAATGTGTGCGTACACCCGCGGGCGCGGGAACGACTTCGTTCGGAGGCGGTGCCACGTCATTTCTTTTGGTGTCGTGAGTTTGGGATGCGGCGGTGGTTTTGTTCGACGCACGAGGCGATAGCGCTGAGAGATTTCGTGATAGGACATGACGGGCTCGCCGGTGTTCTCTGGGTTCGTAATGGGACCCACCGCTCGCTCGGTTGACGAATTCTCGAGCTTGTCGGTGGGCGGCTTCGTTCTCCGGGTTTCCCGCGTGCGCCGGGACCCAGGCGAGAGATGTGGGAGGCGGATACTCGTCTTCGAGGTAGGCGACGGACTGAAGAAGCCGTAAGGTGTACCGGGAGCAACGGTACCGCGAGCGAAATGGGAGATAAACGGTTTTCCAGTCGCCGAAAGATCGTAGTTTCATGCGAAAACATTCGTATACAAATAAAAAAAAGCGATATGGAGAAAGAAGGGTCCTGAAAACTGCCATCGCACGACGCCTGCCTGCACTGTAAGATAAACAAGTCACTGTTATGGCACAAGAACGAAGCCAGGAATGCGACAGCATCACATCGAACTGTTATACGAAGTAAGACTCGGAGATTTAAGAAACGTGCGAAATCTAGTGAACACGGTTGATGCCAAATGGGAGCTGTATTCACCGGCACGACAGGCCCAGCAACTTCCCGAGTAGTCCTGTATTTGATGCGAACAATATGTCCTGTTGCTTCCTGGAGAAAGTGGAGCCAGAGAGAGACGTTTTGGAATGCGTTTTTCATCCAACGTGTATAACTCGTCGCTAGGGTCTGGTATGCGATCGCGGCCAGAGGATTCCTGGAATGAGGGGCCCTCCCACTTGGGGTGACGCTGATCTTATACGGGCTTGGGAACACTTTTTGGAAATTAAAGGTTTATTTATTTGATTCATAAATATCACTGTATTAATACTGAAGGTGCTCTCGGTTTAAACGCGCAGCACTACGACGTTTAAATGCTCAGATACACCCCATAAAGCAGACAGGAGGACGAGTGGTGGCATAGCTTTACTGGTATACGTTCCGTAATTCGCTCGTTTTCACTTTCTTTTTACCGTGTTTGAATGCCTTGCCCTATGGCGTGTGTCATTTTTGCTGCAATGGCCGATCAAGGCACTGCGGTGTCATGCTGTACATGAGGCCGGTGGGATGAGTTATTCTTTTTCGTGTGACGTTGTGCAATTTAGATTTTAATTGGTTGATAAATAGGCGCGAATTTTCAGATGAAGTTATCGGTTTGTGTGTTTAGAAAAAGTGGTTTAACAATGACTGTGTGTTCTATGGGATACTGAAAGCCGTTTCATGGGCTTCCCTTCTCGCTTGTGTTTAGAAAAAAAAAAATGTTCGACGATTCAAAGTACGATGTACTCAACTATAGGAGAGCATCAGGCTGTCCCGCTAAGTCGCCTTTGGAATTCTGTTTAGTAAAAATGATTAATGATTCAGAGTACGAGGTACTCTACTGTGGGATAGCATGAAGCCGTCCCGTGGGCCTCGCACAAAAGTAGGGCATCAACAGCTTACTGAATTAGCACTTCCTATTATGCGCTCCCTACTCCGAAATGCTTCAGATGGTTGACTTTATCATACAGATGTACGTTTGTGTCACTGGCTTCAGATCGGAAACTTCAACGTCCTGGCAAATTCACGAACGAGTCTGTACATCGATGCTCAACTAAACAAAATGTTTTAAGTGCAAACGAAGAACCTTTAGTTCTCAATAAACATCGTGACATCGGAGTGTCTATCCGAAGGTTGAAAGTTTAACCCTTGCTGGCAGCTATTTGTCATGTCGTCAACTTTACACCCAAGAATAAGAATGGGGTGGAGCACATTCAGCAAGCACTCTCAAGTTATGACTAGTAGATTGCCACTAACCCTCAAGAGGAACGTATATAACAGTTGCATCTTACCGGTACTTACATACGGAGCAGAAACCCGGAGGCTTAGAAAGAGGGTTCAGATTAAATTCAGGACGACGCAGTGAGCGATGGAAAGGAAAATGATAGGTGTAACCTTAAGAGACAAGAAGAGAGCAGAGTAAAGGGAACAAACCGGGGTTAAGGATATCACAGTTGAAATCAAGAAGAGGAAATGGACATGGGCTGGTCATGTACCGCGTAGGCAGGATAACCACTGGTCATCAAGGATAACTGACTGGATTCTCAGAGAAGGCAAGTGGATCAGGGGGAGACAGAAAGTTAGGTGGGCAGGCGAGATCAGGAAGTTTGCGGGTGCAAAGTGGCAGCAGCAAGCACAGGACTGGGTTGATTGGCGGAACATGGGAGAGGCCTTTGTCCTGTTGTGGACGTAGTCAGGCCGATAATGATGATGATGATGATTACGATAATGATATCCTTCGCGCTCATATCGTCAATGTCACAGATACAACTTCTATGCATTATGTTGCTCGATTGCCTGTTTGGTCTCATTAACGTTTCCTTAAAGTCAACGTCAATTATCGTTTGCAAGTTCGCACCCACAAGGCGGAGGAGGATTGGAAAAGGAAGGACAGGGAGGACCCACAACTCTTTCAGGAGAGTATAGTGGATCCGGAACATAGTAAACGTGTATCTTTAAAATGAGGTGTGGCAAGTCAGAACTAACTAAAAACAGTAATAGGTAATGCACTTTTTTTTTCGATGGGTTTACTATGGCGCCGTTGCGGAATTCAGCACCATGACGGAGTTCGACGGTGTTCGGAGTAACGTTCTCTCTGAGCATCGGAACAGCTCTTCGAGTTGATGGTACAGCAAGCAGCAAGATTTTTACGGATAACTTGTTTTTGTTTTTTCCCGTAGGGTGGGGCCATCGAAATGGCGTGCAAGGACGACGCCGAGGACTTCGGTCGCTGCTGTCGGCCATGCAGGTGCTCGGCATGAGTTCCGAGGAACAGGACGCCATCTTCCGGATCCTGGCCGCGGTGCTGCACCTCGGAAACGTCTACTTCCACCGGAAACCGTGAGACTCTTCTCTCACTTCCGTGGCTCGCGATGGGAAGAAGGATCTTTTCATCGTTATACTGGCTTTGTACTATCGGTTCGTAGTACAAAGCTGTTAACGATTTAGAGTAATAGGTACTCTACTATGGGTACACTGGATCAGCACTTAGAATTATGCGCTCCCTGCCCCAAATTGTTTCAGATTATTGACTTGATCATACAGATGTACGCTTGTGTCCCTGGCTTCAGGTCGGAAACTTCAACGTCCTGGCGAAATTCACGAACGAGTCTGTACATCGATGCTCAACTAAACAAAATGTTTTATGTGTAAGCGAAGAACCTTTAGTTCTAATCGTGGCATCGGAGTGTCTATCCGAAGGTTGAAGATTTGGTCCTTGCTGAGAAGTGAAGGGCAACGTGTGTGTAGGTGTGACCTTGTCCATTGCACGCTTATAAGCGGTCGCGTAGTCCGGTCGTTTTTAGAAAACTTAGCAATGCCCGCGTCGCTTTGCTGGCCAGCGACGCGTAGAGCCATGAGCCAAGTATCTTCTCTTCGGAAAAAGGTCTACTGTCTAGTGTCTCTAACGTTTCGCGTAGCAAGTTGCGTTCGCTCGCAAACGTTCACATGAACACAGTAGATGTTCTATTGTCTCGTCAGTGTCGCACGATTCACATCGGGAGCTATCCGCCATTCCTATGCGAAAGGAGTACGCCTTTGTAAAAGCTACTCCTAACCACAGGCGGCACAGTAAAGTTGCATCCTGGCGGGAGAGGTCCGATAGAACTTGAAGCTTTCTCGATGGGTCCAATTTGTGTAGGCAGGCGGTGGTTCCTGACACTGGGGTCACTCAGCCAAGTTTCCGACATGGTGTTAGCGAACGAGTGAAGGCCCCTTGCAGCGTCGGTTCTCGACAACGGAATTGGGGTTGTCTGGGCGTCCGCGTGGGCGGATCGGGCATCATTATCAGCAAGGTCATTACCGACAATACCACAATGTCCCGGTAACCACTGGAACACCAAGTCATGTCCTTTCGATAAAACTTCGTGAATCACTTCTCTTATTTCATTCACGAGTTGTTGATGCTCCCTCTGTCGTAAAGCTGATTGCAAGCTCTGAAGGGATGCCTTGGAGTCGCAGAACACAGCCATTTTTGAGGTCGGGCTTCCGCGATATAAAGTATAGCAGCACGTAAGGCGGCAAGCTCCGCCTTGCTGTGGATGTTGTCCTACGCGACAGTTTGAGCTTTATAGTGACCTGGTACGCCGGGATGACAACAGCACCTGTGGAGCTGTCAGCCGAGACCGATTCATCAGTGTAAATATTTATTTATTTATTTATTTATTTATTTATTTATTTAGTTATTTATTTATTTATTTATTGTACCCTCAGGGCTTACAGCTTTGCAGATGGGGAGCGGGCACTGACGAACAATGTTAAAGAAAAGAAAACATAGACAAGACACTAGAACGTTATTAAACACTGGAAAGCAACTATTATCAACTGCAACTATGTTATGCAGCCAGTAGATTATACAAGAAAACTAACAACAAAATCAAACGTTTACATTTCCAACACCAAGTATGTTATCGAGCGATGTTTTAAAACTGCAAGGCGAGGTGATGGATGCAACTGATTGTGGGAGGTAGTTCCAATCCTTGCAAGTTTTAGGCAGGAATGAGGGGGAATATGTTGATGTCTTGAAGCGAGGAACAGCAACTTTCTGCGCATGGTCCGTACGAGTTGGAAATGTATGGACGGTGTGGTTATTTAAAAGTGATGAAAACGAAGCAGAGGGAGGTCGTACGATAATGATATCCTTCGCGCTCATATCGTCAATGTCACAGATACAACTTCTATGCATTATGTTGCTCGATTGCCTGTTTGGTCTCATTAACGTTTCCTTAAAGTCAACGTCAATTATCGTTTGCAAGTTCGCACCCACAAGGCGGAGGAGGATTGGAAAAGGAAGGACAGGGAGGACCCACAACTCTTTCAGGAGAGTATAGTGGTATCCGGAACATAGTAAACGTGTATCTTTAAAATGAGGTGTGGCAAGTCAGAACTAACTAAAAACAGTAATAGGTAATGCACTTTTTTTTTCGATGGGTTTACTATGGCGCCGTTGCGGAATTCAGCACCATGACGGAGTTCGACGGTGTTCGGAGTAACGTTCTCTCTGAGCATCGGAACAGCTCTTCGAGTTGATGGTACAGCAAGCAGCAAGATTTTTACGGATAACTTGTTTTTGTTTTTTCCCGTAGGGTGGGGCCATCGAAATGGCGTGCAAGGACGACGCCGAGGACTTCCGGTCGCTGCTGTCGGCCATGCAGGTGCTCGGCATGAGTTCCGAGGAACAGGACGCCATCTTCCGGATCCTGGCCGCGGTGCTGCACCTCGGAAACGTCTACTTCCACCGGAAACCCGTGAGACTCTTCTCTCACTTCCGTGGCTCGCGATGGGAAGAAGGATCTTTTCATCGTTATACTGGCTTTGTACTATCGGTTCGTAGTACAAAGTCGATGCTCTATGAACAGTGGTCAAAGTGATCTACGCTTAACGGTGGTCAAAGTGAACTCGACCACCGTTAAGCGTGAAAGGTTTGGACGAAAGAAAGAGAAGATGCACGCGAAAGAGGCGCGAAAGGTTTCTCTTTTCGTCTAAACCTTCCGCCCTATACCGATGGTCAAGCATGGAGTACCAATTATCTTGAAGACAGACATTGCGTTGTTGCAAAAGTGAATGCTGAAAAGGAAAAAAAAAATAACTTATTTCAACATATCATAGTAACTCAATACTAGCAGTGTGGTAGCTTGGGCTTGTTGGTACGACATGACGATAGTTATAGCGCGAGGACAGAACGACGACACAGAGACACAGGATCGTGTCCTTCGTGTCTTTCTTGTCTCTGTGTCGTCGTTCTGTTCTCGCGCTATAAATATCGTCAATACTAGCATAGGTGACATTATCTGTTGTGGACATTATCAAGCATAGGAGACATTATATATTGTTTTTTTTTTCAATGGTATAAGGTGAAGATATTGGCCTAAGTTGGAAGGAATTACAGTGGACTAAACGCTATGCGATTTCCGTTAGTGTGATATGAACCCAGGATATTGTGGTATTGTACTAATACCACAACACATCTTGCTAAACTTAGCGTAAACACAAGTGCTCGACTCACCAGGCACAAATAAGTTTGGACTGTACCCACCCCAAGAACCTTTTATGACAAACAATCATTGTCCTACAAACTACCTTCTTTGTTAAGTTTTTTAAACCGCGAAGATTTTGATCCTTCCTCTAAACAAAACTGTCAGATTAAACACTTCGCCTAACTGATACATTATCCTCAATGATACATCTCTCAGAATTTATGCCCATTCTTTTTTTTTTATTATTGCTTTTCATGATCATGCCACTTCATGACCATACATTTGAACTACTGTCTTTTTATCTTAGCACTGTTTTCATAAACTTTTTGTATTACTTTTTTGTGATGTTATACCTGTATGTTTATTTCATATTTGTTGTACACATGATTGACTGCCATTCCTGCTGCTTTGTCAACTTGTGAACGGGGTCAGGACCTCGTCAAGCTCTTGAGCTTTTAGTCCTTTACTCCACCTTATCTAAAGGAAATAAAGTGATTGATTGATTGATTGATTGACCTTCGCATGTTTCGCCTCCCGCAGCTGAAGCACGGCCAGGAGGGCGTCCAAGTGGGAAGCGAGGCTGAGGTGCGGTGGGCATCGCACCTGCTGCAACTCGCCGAGGACGGCATTCTCGCCGCGCTCACCACCAAGACAACGGTCAGTGTGTGTGTGCACTCGTCTACGTCGATCGTGTGGGGTCACGTGACCACACGCGAAGTTCACCCACACGTCACACTTGGCCGTGACAATTCTTTTTTTTTTCTTGCTCTTTAGGAAGCTCGCGGAGAACGTCTCACGACTCCGCTGAACATCGACCAGGCTCTAGACGCGAGGTGAGTACGCTGCAGGAGCGTACTGAGAAACCGCATCGCTGGTGCCTTGTAGCTTTCTCAAATATCTCTGCCGGGTGTTGTTGGTGTCTGAACAGCATGAAAGTTGGTTAGGTTTGTCGTCGCATCCTAAGAAGACACGTTTTTTTTTTTTTTTGAGGTGCTCAGTCAGCTTGGCAGGAAATGTTTCTAAGGTAGTAGGTATATTGTTGTAGAAACAAGACGATTGCTTTCTTTTGAGGAATTGTGAAGGGACACCTGTATATGCCGTAGTTATCATATCAGTTCTACATTCATGGCACAAGAGCGTAATGGGATGAGCATAGTATCAGACCACTTATTCTAAAGGCTTTGAACAGTATCCTATCGACACCACCTATTAAAAGTATGTCTTGTAGTGTGTCCATCAAGAAGTAGCCGTTGCTGTAATTGTGCGTCAACATCTCCTTAGATTATCAAGAAAAAAAACGGGTGATGCTTATATATAATTCTATCGACAAATGAGTGGGAACAAATGAGCAAATGGAACGCCCAGATAAAGTGACAAAACTGTATTCGCGTACTTTGAAGCAACGTGGAAAAAGAAAGCAGACAGTTGGACCCTGGACCAGTGCTGTGCTGTATCCTCTCTAAGTTCATTCCTTAGTTTTGTGCGCTAATTCAGTAGTGAGCACCTAATCCGATTCGACTAACTAGCTTGCTGAGTAATTACAATACCGCGACTATAAGATCGCGATTTCTAGGTTAAAACTTCAAATCGGAGAAACGTTTCCACGGTTCGATGCAGGCTCCGACAGATTCCTGCAACTTTGAACAAGTCGCGCGCCGCCCCGCTGCGGTGGTCTAGTGGCTAAGGTACTCGGCTGCTGACCCGCAGGTCGTGGGTTCAAATCCCGGCTGCGGCGGCTGCATTTCCGATGGAGGTGAAAATGTCGAGGCCCGTGTGCTCAGATTTGGGTGCACGTTAAAGAACCCCAGGTGGTCAAAATTTCCGGAGCCCTCCACTACGGCGTCTCTCATAATCATATGGTGGTTTTGGGACGTTAAACCCCACAAATCATTCAAACAAGTCGCGCGTCATATGGGACTCCAAGTTGGGCCACCTATTTTTATAGTTTTTGTTTAGGGGGAGGGTTGGGGGCTTTGGTTTGACCTGTTCTCAAGGCCCCCAAACTTATTCCCATGATCGCAGGGATGCCGTTGCGAAAGCCCTGTACTCTGGCCTCTTCTCCTGGCTGGTGTGGCGTGTCAACCAAGCCGTCTGCCAGCGGGAGACTGCGAGGACCACAGCGATCGCCATCTTGGATATTTTCGGCTTTGAAGTACGTACCTCCTGTCAAACTTCTCCGGAAGCTTAACATACCGCCGAATCGGCAGTTCTTCTGTGCGACAAAACCACCGTGCCAAAACTGGTGCTAAATACAATGCATCAAGCAACACGTGAGCTCAAGCTGCTAGCATGAAATGCGTGATAAGAGGCAACGCAGCACATGTCGTCGCAGGCTGTTTTCTGATAACTTATAGACCCGACATAAAAGGGCGTGTGTAGTCTTCCTAATGTATAGGGGTTGCAGGGACATTCAGGCTGTTTGAGGCAGTCTCATTTTATAACACGAAGGCAGAAACCGCACAGGCCGCACCGCACCTCTCAGCGCGGCCTGTGCGTCTTAACCGTAGAACACTGAATGAACCGTGAGGCATTGCTAATATCGGTGCTTACATCGACAATGCTAATATCGGACATTGCTAATCTCGCACTGATCAGACCTGGCCCAAGGGATGGCTTTCAGCTCTCCCATAGTAGAGTACCGAGTATCCTAAATCATTAGCCACTTTTTCTAAACACGAATCTTCCCCGTGATCATCATGGGCACTTTAGATGCTGGCTATCATGCGTGCTCGTGCTGGTTAATTATGTCAGCGTACCATTGTCTCTTGCGCGACTTGGTAATTACCTAGAAAGTGTTGATCAATGAATGTCGCAAAAAGCAACGTTTATAAGAGGAGATTTGTTTTCGTAAATGCCAAGCAGTTGTCTGTCGATTCTGCTTATCGATACAACGGCTTCGGCGACATTCCTTATACAGTCACTTTTCACGGCTTGAAGAACCAATCTTCTTCCGAACTTCGGTCTTTGGGCCATTTCATGCATGCGAAACGTTGTCTAAAATATACCAAACTAAGAGTACGACCAAGTAAACGTCTTCGTAAGCCATTAAAGGTCACTCTATCACTCTTAATCTGCCCCTCTTCATCACTGAGTTCGCGTGGAACAGTTGCAGAGGGGGAAAACATGATTAATCACCTCGGTGACTGGTGAACATCGGATTACATCACTCAGGAACGAGCGACTTGTTTACGAACTGGGATAGTCTTTTACATGCATAGCGTTGCATAGGAAATTCTCGTTTCTTGAATATAACCGTTATATAAACCAGTAATAAAGGAAATAACTTAGTTTTTCATTGTACCGATCTGAATCTTACAGGACTTGAAGGAGAACAGCCTGGAGCAGCTGTGCATCAACTACGCCAACGAGGCGCTGCAGCAGTTCCAGATCCGCCAGGTGTTCAAGCTCGAGCAGGCCGAGTACAGCCGCGAGCGTCTCAGTTGGCAGCCGCTGAGCCACTGCGACAACCAGGGGGCGCTGCAGCTCATCGCCAAGCGGCCCCTGGGCCTCCTGGCGCTGCTGGACGACGAGTCCAACTTCCCGAAGGCCACGGACGCCTCTTTCCTGGACAAGTGCCACTACAACCACGCCCTGGACGAGCTGTACTCGCGGCCGCGCATGTCGTCGCTCGAGTTCGGTGTGCGACACTACGCGGGTCACGTGTGGTACTCGGTCGAGGGATTCCTGGACAAGAACAGGGACACCCTGCGACCCGACGTGGTGCAGCTGCTCATCTCGTCTAAGCTGCCCGTGAGTAGTCCATGTCTATCCCTAAACGCCAGCAAAGATACATTTCCGTTGTTTACGGCGCCGCCCCACCGTGGTGATCTAGTGGCTAAGGTACTCGGCTGCTGACCCGCAGGTCGCGGGATCGAATCCCGGCTCCGGCGGCTGCATTTCCGAGCGAGGCGAAAATGCTGTAGGCCCGTGTACTCGGATTGGGTGCACGTTAAAGAACACCAGGTGGTCGATATTTCTGGAGTCCTCCACTACGGCGTCTCTCATAATCTTAAATTGTTTTGGGACGTTAAGTCCCACATATCAATCAAATCAATCTGTTGTTTACGGCACCGACGGCAGTACCACCGCTGTGAAAGAGAGTTAACGAAAAATAAAATAAAATAATTGCGTGAACACAATGAAAAGTAGCGGCCAGAAAAGGAGGAATGGCATTGTCTTCATGGTTCATTGAGGTAGCTTATTCATTCGACATATGAGTGGATTGTGGATTCTCTTCTGAGAACCGAAATATAGTGCGAAGGAATGGGTTTAGTAAAGATTCGTTCATTGATATGTGGGATTTGACGGCCCGAAACCACGATGGGATTATTAGAGACTCTGTAGTGGAGGGCTTCGGAAATTTTGACCACCTGGGGTTTTTTAATGTGCACCCAAAAGTTAGAGCACGGGCCTACAGCATTTTCGCCTCCATCGAAAATGCAGCCGCCGGAACCGGGATTCGTTCCCGTAACCTGTGGGCCAGCAGCCCAGTGCCTTAGCCACTGAACCACCACGGCAGAGCTAGTAAAGATTCGTGCAAGTTCTCTGCCCCGCCGCGGTGGTCTAGTGGCTAAGGTACTCGGCTGCTGACCCGCAGGTCGCGGGATCGAATCCCAGCTGCGGCGGCTGCATTTCCGATGGAGGCGGAAATGCTGTAGGCCCGTGTGCTCAGATTTGGGTGCACGTTAAAGAACCCCAGGTGGTCGAAATTTCCGGAGCCCTCCACTACGGCGTCTCTCATAATCATATGGTGGTTTTGGGACGTTAAACACCACAAATCAATCGTGCAAGTTCTGTTGCATTAATATAGAGTATACGTAATGTGAACCGCAAGACGTTGAAGTTGTTTAGTTGTTCTGTAGTCCCATTTGACCTTAAGAGTCTGTGAGTACGGCTTGTTGTGGCTGTGCTCCTGAACTTCCTCTCAAAAGGATTTTGGGGAGCGTTCTATCGCGTTTTTATAATGAGAAGGAGCTCTGGAAAGCATCATGTGTCCGAGAAGACAGCTTCAGGTAAAGGTCGCCTTGCCCACTGCGCCGAACCGCATAAGATGAAGAGAAGAAGAGAAAAAACAATGAATGTGAGAAGTGAAAATTACTTGTAAGCATTATTGACTCCTGACATGTCATTTTAAAAGCCTTCAACATAAACCCACGTTGATACAAAAAAAAAGGGGGTGGCTAAGACACGCGCGAGTCAGACATCATTAACGGAATGAAAGGCTTAAGGCCCAGTCAGGCAATATCTGTTTGATCACTGTGGCCGCTACCCGACTAGCCCTAATTCATGGATCATTGCATGCACGTCGCAGATATGCAGAAGGGTGTCTTGAAGGGCCAGTTTTTACATGATACTCCGATGTAATAGCGTGGAAATCGGGTCAAGACGGAGGGACAGACAGCAATATCGCTGACGAACAACTCGGTGCAAGTCTATTGCGACGGAAAGTATATACAGAAAAATGGAACTAAAAAGCAGCAAGAAAACATGACACATGGTCACGGTGCACATGGTCACCGTGGTACTTGGTCCCAATGGCTTATGGTCACGTGGTCACTCAGTCCCGTTCGTACGTTGCTTCCTTGCAGTACCACAGATATGGTTGAAGCCCAACACTTCCTCAAAAAACACCTCGCGCGCGTCGATTTTGAGGATTCCTAGCCACTCTCCCAGATACTCCTTTCTGTGTCGACCGATCGCTCTCTATTTTCTCAGCGCAGAGAAAGAAAGAGAGATGAACGCGAAAAAAATGCAGGCAACCATTAGCTATAATTTGTTTACGTTTTCTACCATTGATTGATTGATTGATTGATATGTGGGGTTTAACGTCCCAAAACCACCATATTATTATGAGAGACGCCGTAGAGGAGGGCTCCGGAAATTTCGACCACCTGGGGTTCTTTAACGTGCACCCAAATCTGAGCACACGGGCCTACAACATTTCCGCCTCCATCGGAAATGCAGCCGCCGCAGCTGGGATTCGATCCTGCGACCTGCGGGTCAGCAGCCGAGTACCTTAGCCACTAGACCACCACGGCGGGGCATTTTCTACCATACATGAGATGCATGGTGCATAGGCCAAAAAGAGAAAAAAAAATTGGGGGGGGGGGGGGGGGGTTGTAGAAGCGTAGTCGGGAGGTGGCACTGTTTTTCCATGCATACATAGGGCAAAATGACAATTTGCCTACCGTGCCCCCACTTTCGAGGAAGGTGACGAGGGCCCGATAGTCCACCGCATGGCTACGCCACTGTGTGAGGGGAAAGAGAAGTTAAAAGAGAGCGAGAAAGCAAGGCATCGGTATGTACCATGCACCGCTCAGAAGCGCGGCACCAGCGTATCCACAATCGTTCAGTTGAGTGTGTCGTCTTGAAAAGCTGCAAAAAGAGATCGTGCGACCTTCCTTCTAGGCTGACGGGATATCACATCACACTCCGAGCATCTCTCCTTCTCTTGAAAAGCCTATCGGAAAGCTGTACACTCATTGTGTAGATTATAGTGGTTCTGGAGCTTTTTATTGGTGTGCGAATGCATTCTAGTGTTACTGTCACGTCCCTGCAAAGACGTGCATATTGTCACCGCGGTGAATTGCTCATTTCGGGCTGGTTGGTTTACCGTACTTCCAGCGCTAAAAAGACGTGACGTAGTCGTAACACCCGAAATGCATTTTATTCATCCAGTGAGCATATATATGCTCCACCGGAGTGTCATTCGAACAAAAAAAAAAAGAAAAGCACCCAAACCAGGGCTCTGACTAACAACCAGATGTGTTTTATTGTTCCACTCAGCATATACATATTCCACCACAATCTGGTTTAAGATTGCGGTGGAGTGTATATGCGCTGATAACGTATGTGCGTGCCGATATCGCTGTTTTCTGCTGCGAATCGCGCCCTGTCTTTTTCGATCACATCGCAGATGGTGTCCCAGATGTTCGAGTGGCGCCGCGCCACGGCCGAGGCGTGCAAGACGTCGAGCAAGGCGGACGGCCGCTTCGTCACAATGAAGCCCCGGGCAGCCCACGGTCGCAGCCCGCTTCCACGATTCCCTGCAGAGCCTGATGGAGGCCATGGCACAGTGAGTGTTGCTTCCTGCATAACTCGATCTGCCCTTCCGCACTTTCGTGAACTGCATGTGGAAGTTTGGTTGTCAGTTGAACCAACGCGTCCTTTATTTAATTCAATGCCAGTGCAAACGCGCGCTAGTCAACGGGAGCCGTCGGGTCTGCCTTAGTTCAGGGAGTGACCGTGATGCGGCGCTGCATGAGGGGTAGTGCTGTCCAACGTTTATAAATATATTTTAGTTTAGAAACTCGCCGCCGCGGCCATTGAACGCAGCCGGCCCGCTGCGGTTCCTGACACCGCGGCGCTGCAGTCGAGAATTGCGCTATTGTTGCGAGCGTCGTCTGCTAGCTCCAACGTTGCGCTTGCGCAGCGGGCTTAGCAAGCCGTCTGATTTTATTACGCCCGTTGCAGCTTTTAAATCTTAAGCGCTCCACTCTCGTGTGTGATGTTCTTAATGCGTGTCGCAACGCACCGCTGTATTATTTTCTACGCATTCGGAACATTCCAGGCCACAAGCTTATGCTTTAACTGCGCCCTGCATACCCGGCCCTCGTTTGGGTTGACTGAAAGCGCGCGCGTGGCCTTGATAGGAAGGGAAATGTTTTCGTCGCCAACCAGATGTCCTAACCCGAATCCATTCGTGTTTTGATTGATTGCAAGGTTTAACGCGCCGACGCAACGCCGGCGTTTAGACGCGCCGTAGTGGAGGGCGCCGGATTAATTTTGACCACTTGGGGATCTTTAACGCGCGCCGAAATCTCGCACATAAGGGCGTTTTTGCTTTTCACCTCCATCAGAAAAGCGGCCGGGAATCGAACCCGCGGGTGCAGCCACTGCGGGTGCACCCAAGGCAGAATTTCATACTGTGCACAATTTGCATTATCGCTTCAACGTCTTTCTGGGAGCGTACCCGCACGTCAACAAGCGACTCTTGCAGCAGTTTTCCGTTCGCTGAAATAACGTACGTAAGATCTTCTCGTATCACAACGCTCTTCATGATAGAGAAAACACCTGCGCTCATCCCTGTCTCGTAGAAAACTGCTTGCCGGCTGTTTTCTGGCTCATCTTCCACAATTGACAACTGCCAATTCCGAGGTAGCCGCAGTGAGGCACTGTTCTCGATAATGTACGCGAGGTCAGTGCTCTCGCAATCACTCTGAAGCTCATTTGGCTCTTCGGGAGGTGGGTGGCAAGACACAGTCTCTGCACGCCGACAAGCACTTGCTCTCTTTTTCGGCGACCGCCGCCTCTTCGGTGCAGAAGACAGATAGCTGGGTAAGTTCGGGAATTGCGTCGGAACGACACCACTTTTCAGAGCCCATGTACCCCGCTCAACCTCTACCACTTCACCATTGATGATATGCTTATATGTTTTCGTCATGTCTGCTGGCTGAAAGTGAACGTCGCACACCTTGCATGTTTTGCTGAGCAACTTATCAGCGCGGGGAATAGCCCTTCGCCACCTGTTAAGAAGCTCGGGGTCCGACGGTGGGGCAAAAAAGTGCCGCTTGTCGGGGTTACTCCTATATCCGCTTGTGCAGCCAGGCACAAAACACGTCGGAATGTTGGCTGAATGCTATGGCATTTCACATGTGAAGCATGGGACACGGCGAGGAATCGGACAGCACTTCCTGGGGGAGAGCGGCTGGCCTTGAACGCCGGCGACTTTGTTGACTGTTCGTAACAGCGAGCAAATCTATCATCGGCAGTCGCTCACGCACAGCACAAACACAGTTTACAACCTCAAAACGAGAAGAAAACAACGAGCAAATATATCGGCATTCACTAACTAACAGCACATACACAGTTCACAACCACAAAACGAGAAGAAAACAACGAGCAACCCCACAGCACGACCCAGAAAACCATGGCCACTGGCACACCGAAACGCTCGCCTGCACCAGCCGGCCCGTCGGCACCGCGCAAAAGTCGACCGCAGCGCCCTCACACCCCCAAGGAGTAAGACGCGCCCGGCTTCGGCGGCGGAGTTTCGAAACTGAAGTATATATCTATAAACGTTGGTGAGGGTGGCGGCGGCGGCATTGCTTCAAGCCACAATGAAGGAGCATGAAGAAGCATATCTGACGGACGTGTGATATTGGAGAGGGACACGCGTCTATCGCATCTCCGGGGTAAAGCGCTCGGAAGCATAGAGTTTCTTTATATACGCTAGAGGGAACTCTGGCGCTAGTGTCTATGGGAGCTGCAACGCACGGCGCTTCAGCGAGCATGGGAATGATGGTTAGTACACACATTTGTCTAATTTTCGTACTTCTGGCCTGCTTGTGGCTCCGGGTGTGTTCGCGTGGCCTGGAGCTCTTTTTCCACGAAAACATAAATTAGCAAATGTTCACCGTTTGCGCTTCACAACCTTATTCTTTTAGGCTTACCATTTTGAATCGGGTCACTAAGTTCAAAAGGATTCGTTCTTTCTTTCAAAACAAAACCGTAACCAGCAATAAACAAAGCCGAAAGTAGGATTCGCCGCCCGCAAGTACGAAGACTAGGCAAATGTGTGTACTACCCATCATTCCCATGGTCGCTGAGCGATCGCAGCGCCATTGTGCCCTCTAGTTAATTTTGGGAAACTCTATGCTCAGAAGCACGTGTGACGCAAGCAGCTGGATGGATGGATGAATGAATGGATGAATGGATATGGCTGTACTATTTAGATGGGGCGGCGGCTAGCGCCACCAGGCTGTAATACTCAATGAACCAAAAACTATATTTATTTTTTTTCCCTTAAATAGTGATGTTGAGGATTCGCACTCTGCAGTGAAGGGTTTAATTTTTGCTCCTGCCTTGACTTTAGCCACCAATCAGACAACCTACCCAGACAGCACCAACGTTTATAGATATATACTTCAGTTTCGAAACTCCGCCGCCGAAGCCGGGCGCGTCTTACTCCTTGGGGGTGTGAGGGCGCTGCGGTCGACTTTTGCGCGGTGCCGACGGGCCGGCTGGTGCAGGCGAGCGTTTCGGTGTGCCAGTGGCCATGGTTTTCTGGGTCGTGCTGTGGGGTTGCTCGTTGTTTTCTTCTCGTTTTGTGGTTGTGAACTGTGTATGTGCTGTTAGTGAGTGAATGCCGATAGATTTGCTCGTTGTTTTCTTCTCGTTTTGAGGTTGTAAACTGTGTTTGTGCTGTGCGTGAGCGACTGCCGATGATAGATTTGCTCGCTGTTACGAACAGTCAACAAAGTCGCCGGCGTTCAAGGCCAGCCGCTCTCCCCCAGGAAGTGCTGTCCGATTCCTCGCCGTGTCCCATGCTTCACATGTGAAATGCCATAGCATTCAGCCAACATTCCGACGTGTTTTGTGCCTGGCTGCACAAGCGGATATAGGAGTAACCCCGACAAGCGGCACTTTTTTGCCCCACCGTCGGACCCCGAGCTTCTTAACAGGTGGCGAAGGGCTATTCCCCGCGCTGATAAGTTGCTCAGCAAAACATGCAAGGTGTGCGACGTTCACTTTCAGCCAGCAGACATGACGAAAACATATAAGCATATCATCAATGGTGAAGTGGTAGAGGTTGAGCGGGGTACATGGGCTCTGAAAAGTGGTGTCGTTCCGACGCAATTCCCGAACTTACCCAGCTATCTGTCTTCTGCACCGAAGAGGCGGCGGTCGCCGAAAAAGAGAGCAAGTGCTTGTCGGCGTGCAGAGACTGTGTCTTGCCACCCACCTCCCGAAGAGCCAAATGAGCTTCAGAGTGATTGCGAGAGCACTGACCTCGCGTACATTATCGAGAACAGTGCCTCACTGCGGCTACCTCGGAATTGGCAGTTGTCAATTGTGGAAGATGAGCCAGAAAACAGCCGGCAAGCAGTTTTCTACGAGACAGGGATGAGCGCAGGTGTTTTCTCTATCATGAAGAGCGTTGTGATACGAGAAGATCTTACGTACGTTATTTCAGCGAACGGAAAACTGCTGCAAGAGTCGCTTGTTGACGTGCGGGTACGCTCCCAGAAAGACGTTGAAGCGATAATGCAAATTGTGCACAGTATGAAATTCTGCCTTGGGTGCACCCGCAGTGGCTGCACCCGCGGGTTCGATTCCCGGCCGCTTTTCTGATGGAGGTGAAAAGCAAAAACGCCCTTATGTGCGAGATTTCGGCGCGCGTTAAAGATCCCCAAGTGGTCAAAATTAATCCGGCGCCCTCCACTACGGCGCGTCTAAACGCCGGCGTTGCGTCGGCGCGTTAAACCTTGCAATCAATCAAAACACGAATGGATTCGGGTTAGGACATCTGATTGGCAACGAAAACATTTCCCTTCCTATCAAGGCTACGCGCACGCTTTCAGTCAACCCAAACGAGGGCCCGGTATACAGGGCGCAGTTAAAGCATAAGCTTGTGGCCTCGAATGTTCCGAATGCGTAGAAAATAATACAGCGGTGCGTTGCGACACGCATTAAGAACATCACACACGAGAGTGGAGCGCTTAAGATTTAAAAGCTGCAACGGGCGTAATAAAATCAGACGGCTTGCTAAGCCCGCTGCGCAAGCGCAACGTTGGAGCTAGCAGACGACGCTCGCAACAATAGCGCAATTCTCGACTGCAGCGCCGCGGTGTCAGGAACCGCAGCGGGCCGGCTGCGTTCAATGGCCGCGGCGGCGAGTTTCTAAACTAAAATATATTTATGAACGTTGACCCTCACAGCGCTAGCGGCGTTACCGTGACGCGTTCCCGTTGGTTGCCCGCTAGCGCCACGAACGGCGGCACGCTATCTCAAACACGGCATCACTTACAGAGCCAGATTGTGATAACGAGGAATGCATGACGCCGTCCCGCGGATCTGTACACACGAACAAATAGTTACTTTATATGATTCCCGTCTGGAGGCGCAGCGTGAGGGGGCTTTCTTCCCCGTGTATTTTTGTATATTTTTATATTTTTTCTGTATCCTGCAAAATTCTTATGTCAGCCTGTCTGCGTCACTGTATTTGAAGCAAAGGCCCTTTGTCAGGCTTTCAGCCCTTGCCTTCACTCCATTTTCTGTACTGGCACAGAAAGAATGAATGAAAGAAAGAAAGAAAGAAAGAAAGAAAGAAAGAAAGAAAGAAAGAAAGAAAGAAAGAAAGAAAGAAAGAAAGAAAGAAAGAAAGAAATGACCACAAAGCACACGCGAAGGCAAGGCGATGGGCGACAGCAGGAACGGGCTGGAGGAGAGGGTGGTGCACGAACGGCTGGATCTGGTGCGTCTGGCTGGCATTCATAAAATAGAGCAGGTGCCGGTCGAACTTAGACGAAAGCGTGAGGTAAACTTTCATGCGTTGATGGAGATATTACACATGCACTGATTGCTCTATATGTGTATCACTCACGAAATCTGTCACCCACCGCTCGCCACAGGCCGCGCCGCTATGTTTGCGAAACGCTCTCGATTATTTGAGACGGTTTCGATAAGATTGAGTGCATGACGGGCTCGCTTTTTACGCGGACATGTTCCGCCGAAGATCAGATTTGCGACAGCCGACGATTGTGAACGCCACTATCAGTATGGAGCCTGCCTTACTCGTTTTTTTTTTTAGTTACTTAGATATCTGGGTTCAAGACCGATAAAGATTTACGCCCCTACCGGTGTGACTGCTACCTTTTCACTACCGCTACCTCGTCTCACTACTTTATTTTTAGTTCTTTTTTTTCGTTACGGACGGTCAACTGGATTTGTTCTGAAAGTGGAAGATGATAATAATACTGATGTGACAGAAAAAGCCCTTTCTGGCTCAAGATTCTTTGGAAAAGAATAAAGTCGCGGTGAAGATGACTTCGATGAAAACTTAAGATTTCGCTTTGTATCTGTAATTCTTCGCGCTTGAGCAAGATTGCCACCCCTTTTTGCATGCTCGTTTCTTTTCTGTTCTGTGAAAACGGCTGAATTATTTCTGTACCTGATTCTTTTACTTCTTTTGCGTTGTAAGCGGTCCTTGTTTATCAACAAAAAGTTGAGTATACTCTCACACTGTCGCTATTCAGGTCACCGACGTCACAAACTTGAATCATGTGTGCTATTTTTTTCTGTTTATAGAATAATGCAATCATGTCTAATGTAGTACTTAACATGTCAGATTCTAAAACTGTTTGAAGTATGTCTTAACAGGTGCCCTGCCGTTGTTCCTTCCACAGGTGCAACCCGTGGTTCGTGCGCTGCATTAAGCCTAACAACGAGAAGGCTCCCATGAAGTTTGACCTAGCCGTGGTGCTGGAGCAGCTGCGGTATTCCGGCATGCTGGACACCATACGGATACGCAAACTCGGATACCCCATACGATTCAAGTTCGCCACCTTCTCGGAAAGGTACGGGTGCACGCCGCTAGAGTCCACTCTCTTTCAGCCTCATGATGACGTCACGAAGAGGACTGTAACCATAGACAAACAAAAACAAAAACAGAGTCTAGGAAGGAGGGCCACGTGACTGTTTTGAAGTCTATACAGTATAGCCAATTCCACCTTCATTTAGGATGCCTGACGAATGGCTCGTGTTGCCAGTGGAGTAGCCCTGCCTTCGCGGTGGCGCTAGCGACAGACACCATCATCACGGGTTTCCTACTTGTGACCCGGGGGCGCGTCAGTCGAGAGTTATTCGAGATCTGCAATTGTACAAGACCATTTCGCAGGCTGTGCAACATGTCGAGCTGTTGCACCGTCCGCCACAAGTGGCGCTAGCGACTGACACTAATTGAAAATGAAGGAGGGAAAGGGTGAGGCAGCTTTTTTCGTTCTTATGCAGCAGGCATGTAATACAGCCCCGCCGCGGTGGTCTAGTGGCTAAGGTACTCGGCTGCTGACCCGCAGGTCGCGGGTTCGATTCCCGGCTGCGGCGGCTGCATTTCCGATGGAGGCGGAAATGTTGTAGGCCCGTGTGCTCAGATTTGGGCGCACGTTAAAGAACCCCAGGTGGTCGAAATTTCCGGAGCCCTCCACTACGGCGTCTCTCATAATCATATGTTGGTTTTGGGACGTTAAACCCCACAAAACAATCAATCAGGCATGTAATACAGGAGGCGCTGCAGTAGTCAAATGCAACTTTAGACGTCCGAGGGATGTTCTCCTGAAAGGTGAAAGAAAGCATACATCCCTGCACCAATGGGCGTGCAGTATTCACTGACGTCAACAGATGAATGGCGGCCAATGGTGCCCGCCTTCAGAGCACATTGCCTTGTGTGCATAGAGCGGGTAATATATATATATATATATATATATATATATATATATATATATATATATATATATATATATATATATATATATATATACATATATTATATATATATATATATATATATTATATTATATATATATATATATATATATATATAAGAAGGGAACATGGAATTTGTATTCGATCAGACAACCGTTTTCTTGCTTGTGCTGCTGTGCCCGCGGCAGTTTTGTGGAATTGTGTCAATATGTATAGACCTAGCGAAGAAATTATTGCTCCTTGGGGGCGATATTGAAACAAACCCGGGCCTGAGCTAACCCAAATCGCAAGACAGATAAAGGAAATTGCTTCCGACATAAAAGAGATAAAAGAGAAGCGTCTGACCGATATTGATAAAAAGCTTGACGCCATAACGGAACTAGAAAAGAAAGTCGAAGCTTCTCACGGTGAAATATTAAACATGAAACAGGTAATTGAAACACTGCAAAAAAGAATAGATGACCTTGAAAATCGAAGCCGCCGGTCAAACCTTATTGTGTACGGCTTAGCTGAACAGGAGGGAGAAACAAGTGAAAGCTTAGAACAAGCCGTAAACGAAGGTATTATTAAAGAAAAACTGGAACTTGAACCAGTTGTAATCGAACGTATACACCGATTAGGGAATGCACAGACAAATAAAGTCAGACCAGTGATTTTCAAACTGCTGGATTCTAGACAAAAAAATGGAATACTCAAAAATGGGTACAAACTGAAAAAACTCTGGCTTGTCCATTGGTGAAGACTTCTCGCGTAAAATACGGAAGTCAGAAAGAGGCTTTGGGAGAGTGCAAAAGAAAATCGACAGAAACACGAGAAGGTGTCACTAGCCTTCGACAAACTCTATATTAATGGCCAAGCCTTCGTTTGGAATAACGAAAAAAATGACAAAGTTCTGCTTCGTCAAAAAAAGGACGACACGAAGGGGCGGCCTTACACTCGTCAAGGCACAAAATTAAAGAAATAACTGTACTGAATATAAATGCTAGAAGTATTCTAAACAAAATCGAAGCTCTTGAAAATCTGTTGCTTGAATATGAACCTGATGTTGTGGCTATCACTGAAACATGGCTCACCCCTGACGTGTACGACTCTGAAATTGCTCCCCCAAGTTATTCTGTAATCCGCAAGGACCGTCTGACGCGAGGGGGTGGTGTTGCTCTGCTGATAAAGAATCGCTTTTCCTTCCACGTTTTGGCGCACAATTTAGAAGCTGAAGCAATCTTTTGTAAACTCACGTGTGACTCAGGGACTGTGTTCATTGGGTGTGTTTACCGGAGCCCGTCATCGGGTCATGAAAGTATATCGGCCATTCAAGAATTCATGCATCAAAATGTGAGAAATTCGAAAGTACTGCTGATGGGTGATTTCAATCTTGCTGACATAGAATGGAATACTATGCATCACTCGTCAGCAGCCTCTGAAGCTCTCCTTGATATTATGCTTGCCTTTAACCTTCAACAAATCGTAACTGAGCCTACGCGCACACAAGGTGCCGTTAAAAACATCCTGGATCTTATCCTTCTCAGCCAACACTTCCCGATAAGTGCCGTTAAATCGAGTATTATTGAAGGCATTTCGGACCACGATATACCGCTATGCATTCTACCTATTAGCAATACCCAAATCAATCGTGACGAAGTGTCTGTGATTGCTGACTTTCAAAGAGCAGACGACAACAGCATACTAACACACTTAGACTACGAGTTTGCCAACTTTTCACAACTCGCGTCGGACGCATCATGTGACATAGACGCTCTATGGATTAAGTTCAAATCAATTATATTTTTTTGTATCGATAAGTATGTTCCCCAAAAAACTAGAAAACAGCAGAGGTCAAACCCATGGATCACGCGTGAAGTTATTCACTCAAAACGTCGCGTGAATCGTCTTCGTAAAACAGCAAAAAATAACCAAAGCCAGTCGATAACTTTAAAACTGCAGAACGCTAAGACTGATCTACGAGATAAAACCAAAGCGGCAAAAGATCATTACTTTAACGTAACTCTGCCGAGTTTCCTTGCAAATAACCCTCGCAGGTTCTGGAAACATTTCAGTGTAAAGGGGGCAGTGACACAACTATCTGCAAAAGAAAAACAAGATAAAGCTGAGTCATTTAACAACTTTTTTCAATCTGTATTCACAGCTGAAAATAAAAATGTACCCTCTATTAGTTCGCGCATTACCACGACCATCGATGACCTAATCATTACAGATGCCGGTGTCATGAATCTTTTATTGAAAATTGATCCCAGGAAATCTAGTGGTCCCGATAACATTCCGAACGAATTTCTTAAAAGGTACGCGGAATGGAGTAGTAAATATCTCGGAATAATTTTTAGGAAATCCTTGCAGCTCGCTAAATTACCGTCTGACTGGAAATTAGCTAAAGTCATACCAATACATAAATCCGGAGATAAAGTCCTGGTATCGAACTATAGACCTATATCTCTTACAAGTACATCGTGCAAACTACTAGAACATGTTATTTTTAAACACATCACATCTTTCCTTGAACAAATACATTTTTTTTCTCCCAACCAGCATGGATTTCGAAACGGTTTATCAACTATTACACAATTGACCGAAGTTGTACATGACCTTGCACATAGCCTCAATCGCCGCAGTCAAACAGATATGGTCCTATTAGATTTTTCAAAAGCATTTGACAGTGTCTGCCATAACAAATTAATTGCGAAATTGGAAGCCATCTTAGGTAACACCTCATTCGCCAGTTGGATTAAGGACTTTTTGCTCAATCGAAAACAATTCGTATTCTTTGAACAAGCTACATCGAAAAACCGTTTCTGTATCATCAGGCGTACCACAAGGATCAGTTCTTGGACCATTGTTATTTTTAATCTATATCAACGACATTGCAACAAACATCGACTCTAACATAAAACTTTTTGCTGACGATTGTGTTATATATCAGGAAATCAATAGCCATACAGACCACCTTGCGCTGAGTGCCTCCCTAAACACAATATCCGAATGGTGTAAACAATGGCAGATGTCAATAAACGTAAAAAAAATCCGCTGTGATCACAATAACTAAAAGAAAACAGCCCTCAATATTCAACTATGCAGTCGACGGCACCATGCTACCTAAAGTAAACCAACATAAATATTTAGGGGTGACGCTTACTTCGGACCTTAACTGGACCCAGCACATAGATAACGTTTCCGCAGCAGCACTACGTAAGTTATTTTTTCTTAAAAGAAGCCTAAAACTAGCTCCCACCCCAATAAAGCTGCTTGCCTATAAGACATTTATAAGACCGATTTTAGAATATGCCAACGTGGTTTGGTTCCCGCATACAAAGACTAACATAAGGAAACTGGAAGCAGTGCAAAGAAAAGCGATAAGATTTATTCACAACAGGTACAGGCGCACTGACTCCCCAACTTACCTTTTAAACGCATCCAATCTAAAAACGCTGCTAGAAAGGGCGAAAGAAGCCCGCTTAAAATTCTTGTTTCAGATAATTCACAACAGTTTCAAGATAAACGTGTCGAAGTACATTTCGTTTTCCGAAACCCGACCTACACGCCAACAGCATCCCAATATACTAACAGAATATTCATATAGTAATGAAACCTTCAAGCATTCTTTTTTTCCACTTGCCATTAGGGAATGGAATCAAGTACATCCATCGATCACAAACACCAAATCATTCTCGGAATTTGTTAATAAAATTGAAGGCACAAGCAACTAATCCTCGACACAGAGAGGATATAACTACAGGCCTGTCTCAATAGTGTGATAAATGTATTCATTGTATATATTTTGGTAAACGCTATTTGTTCTTGCCTTATATTTATTGTAACCTCTTTTTTTTACATTTATTAGATATTTCATTGTTCCTGAAATGTTTTATGTTTTATATATTGCACTTTTTGTATTGCCCTCCTGCTACGCTCTCAGATGAGAGCAGCAGTATTGGAAATAAATAAATAAATAAATATATATATATATATATGGTGCCCCAGTGCTATATTTAGCATGTTGCTTAGCATCACCTGGAGTTAGACTATTTTTGTGTTCTAAAATATTGTTTTCAGATCTGCTTAGTTAACTTACTTTTGAAGGAACAGA